GGCCTATATATTGTGGAGAAGGATAGTTGACACTTCATTGATGTTGACACATAGTGTGTGTTTTTGATGTAGTGCTAGCCCAGGTATGCAGACATTCCTATACTTGTGCCCACTGAAATGCCACTAGTTGGACTGTGCAGACCTCAGACCACAGAGTGTGGAAACTATATAAAGTAGATGGTGGCAACATGCCCATTGTTTTAGACATCTGTTACCATTTTATTTCCAGATGGGCAATGAGAGAATCACTCCAATGCCATGGGCTGCTTCAAACAGGCTGTCCTCCCTGGAGAGAGCTACAGTTCCTGTGGAAGTTGCCAATTCCCTGTGCCTTTCAGGATGGACATTTCTTTCAGTTTCATGTCAGCATAGATCATCCTCAGACAGAGAGAGTTTCTGGTGAGTATTCAAGTGTCTGATAAACTAGGATTGAGAACCCAGACCCATTGCTGGCCTTATGAAACTGCCTGTTTGGGATGGTGGTTTACTGAGTTACCATGAAGTCATTTTGAAACACCTTGACCTGGTAAATCAAGCTACTACAGTCACTAACACCCCAAAGATACAGTCTTATAAATAATCTGTGATAATTGAGACCTATAGGAACTCCTTTGACAAAAGGTTCAACATGATATAATCCATTAATTGCACTCTAGGTGACATAAAATGTCTTGTTGGGGCCTTGTCTCTTCCATTATACTGTGACTCCACTTAAATTTCTTTCTTATGTGTATATATATTTAGGGTGCTTCTATGGTAGTAAGTATGTATATGACTTTGCAAATAGCCTTTACTGTTAGGTATGCCTTCTGTTATTCCCTCCTTTACCTTGTCCCCCCATATCCCTCCACATGAAATTGTCCTATTATGGTTTTCCATTTACCTGTTTTTAACACTATACTCTTATTTCTCTTTTTTCAACGATGCTCTCATAACCCCTGGTCCCTTACAAGCAACTACCTAATGTCTGTTCTTATTCATATTGAAGTACACATGCCTGAAGCATAAAAGCTAACACTCACATTTAAAGGAAAGCATGTACTTCTCGTTCTGTGGTTTGGGTTAACTCTGTCAGATAAATTGCTGCTACATGAGTTCATTTATCTGGAAATTCATTTTTGTTAATGTCAGAATAATGTTCCATTGTGTAAATGTATCACAGCTTCAGTTTCTCTTTACCAGCTGATGGACATTGTGTCTGTTTTCAACTTCAGGTGTTATGAATAGAGAAGCAGTGAGCATGATTGATAAACCTGTATCTCTGGAGTAATATGTAGTCCATAACCAAGAGTATTCTAGCTGGATCTTACTTTAGTTCATTCTTTAGAATTTTGACAGGGTTGCTGGATTCTGGAGGATGCATGATGTCTTGGTTGGTCATGTTTCTATTTTATGCACTGGGACCTAGGCATCTGGAATTATAGTATTTGATGTGTTTCATTGTGTAAATATCTGGTATTGTCTTCATTGGGTAGATGTTCTCTTTGTGGTTGCTATTGCCCACTCTGCTCCGAGCCAAGTGTGGCCAATGTGTGGGTCCTAAATTCCAACCTATTGGGAGAGCTGTTGTGCAGTTCAGCAGATACTCCTAGAGGAATAGAGCTTGGTTAGAAGGAAATACTGACAGGGTGGCAGGGAAGAGCTAGGAGTTCTCTGGGTCATTAACAAAAGATTGGGTCCCTAGGGTCATGGGGGAATGTCTGCTGTACATATGTTTCTCTTATTGGTTGATGAGTAAAATTATGATTGGCCAGGCAGGAAAGACAAGCAGGGCTACTAGATGAGGAGAATTCTGGTGTATGTAGGCAGATAGGAATCACCATGTAGCCAGCAAAGACTTAGCAGATTCAGGAGTTCTACAGTAATCCAAGGCCCCATGGAAATACATAGATTAATAGAAATAGATTAATAATTAAGACAGAGTTAGCCAATAAGAAGTCCTAGGCATTGGCCTACACTTTTATAACTAATATAATATCCATGTGTGTACTTGGGGCTCAAGGGCGGCAGGACCCAGAAAACTCATGCTACACTAGTGGGTGGAGACAGGCTCATGGTAGCTCATGTGTGTGGTAGCTCATGTGGACAGGCTGCACCAGAACTGAGGATAAGTTAAGAGAGACCTGAATGGAGAACAGGAAGATGGATGAAGGTCCCCTACCTGAATACTAGCTAATTGTGGCAGCTGTGGGTCCCTGCTAGAGAGAGGCTGGGTCAACAGAGTCACAAGGAATACAGATGGGCTAGAAGGAACACTGAAAGGGCCAACAGGAAGAACTAGGGGCACACTGAGTCTGTATCAAGAGCCAAACTGGACTTTTTGTTCCATTGTGCATCAGATGTAAGAAGCTTAAAAACACCCATATTACTTTCCTTTTATGCAAAAAGACTGAATGAAGAATTTATGAATGTAAATTATAGAAATCCAAGGGAAATAACGAACTGTGACGGTGCAGATACAGCAGCATAGTCATAATCTCCAGGGCTACAAGGATCTTGGAAACCAGAAAATATAGGAAAGGGCAATTATTTTGAAATGCAGTTTCTACAGATGCTGATGTGCAAGGCAGGGCCCCAACATTTGTGTCTCTGCAATGTTCCTCAGGAGAGCTGCTTGCACAATTATGCACCACTGAGTTAAGCACGAAAAGATCAGAGCACCCCTGAAAAGTCACAAGAACCATTTCATAACACAAGGACCCTATGTCTTTACTGCAGTTGTAGCCAAAGGCCCCAGTCAAGACTCCTGAGCCATTACATCAGCTGGTTTTATGACAAATTGACACAAGCTAAAGTCATCAGAGAGGAGAGAGCCTCATGTGTGGAAATTCCTACTTGAGAATCAGCTGTAAAGCATTTTGTAATTAATTATCAGTAGTGGAGGGCTATGGAACCGTGAGTGGGGCTAGCTCTTGGATGATGATCCTGGCTTGTATAAGGAAGAGGCTGAGCAAGCTATGATGACCAATCCAGTAATCATTACCCTTCCATGGCCTCTGCATCAGCTCCTTCCTCCAGGTTTCTGCCCTGTTTGAGTTTCCATCCTGACTTCCTTCAGTGGAGAACAGTGATGTAGAACTGCAAGCCAATTTAACCCTTTCCTCCTCAACTTGCTTTTAGGTCCTGGGGTTTCATTGCAGCAATAGATACTCTAACAAGACACCATCCATAAATCTTATATAATGAGCTCATCAAAGATGTTTTTATGGTCACTCATTGTTGAGGGAAGTCCTGTTATTTGTCAATAAAGTACTGTTGAGCCTATAGGAATCTAGATAGGTGGGGCTAGGAGTCCAGGAGGATTCTGGGAAGGAGAAATACAAGAGAGTCACCATGTAACGCCATGGGGGTAGGAAGCCTGGAACTATTCTCCGGTAAGAAACATACTTAGATTAACAATTATGGGGTAATTACTTAAGTCAGAGCTAGCCAGTAAGAAACAAGCAAGGCCAACAGCTTCATAATTAATATAGCCTCCTGTGTGTTTATTTGGGGACTACAATGTGGCGGAGCTCAGGCGACTGGCGGGTGATATACCAAAGCGGCTAGCAAGAAAAAGCTTCTCTTAACATAATGGTTGTCAGAAGCGGGATATTCAATGCTATATATGGAAAACAATATATTTATTTACCAGAGAGAGAGAGAGAGAGAGAGAGTCACACAGGCCAGGAGTTAGAAGCATGGCTGGCTTCCCGGAGAAAAAGGGAGGTTCCTTCCTCTTTCACTTCCTTTTATATCTACCTGTGTCAGTTTACATGTCTCCGCCCTCATGGGTGGATAGCTTTGTGGGGTTCACACCTACACTCAATAAATCACCTCTTGCATTTGCAGCCAGTGATCTGGCCCTGGTTCTTGGGCAGAGGGTTCGGTTCAGTGCCCGGCGCTTTGATGCCGAGGTCTTTCAATGGTAGCCTCAAACATACCACCTAGCAGAGGCTGACCCTGAACTCCTGTCTTCCTCCTCCCAAGTCATGACAGCAAGTATGGACCTCCACACCAAGTTGATTATTTTTTATTAATAAAAGTAACATAGTCTTTATATCATGTTTTAGAGAGTTGATGCATTTTTTATGGTGTAGGAATTATTGGCTATTACATTTGGAGGATGATACTTTATGTTCTCACTGTAAAGATGAGAACAACTGATACAAATGATCTTAACAACATAAGTTTTTCTTGGACAAGTTCTCCTTTTCTAAGTCAAATAATTTGATTGATTGCATCTCGTGATTATTATCGATAACATTAATTTGAGCCTAGGATTCTTTTACTTATAATTTAATGTGTTGCGCTTGTAAACTTAAAAAAAAGTCATTGCTGAATTATAGTATAATAGAAAACAAATAGAAAAGGTCTCAATTAGATAATTTACATAAAAGTTCCATTTTATATTTATAATATTTTTAAAATTTGACAATTCCATATATGTATATAATGCATTTCAGCCATGCTCACTCCCTCCCACCTTTCTTATTTCCCTTTCAAGCTTTTCAAATGCCCCTCTTTATGAGTCCCTTTCTCACATTAATATCTGGGAACTATCTTGGGATCCACTGAGTTTAACCAGAGCTGTCTTTGGGACACTAGACTTTAGACTATCCACTGGAGCAGTGCTGCTCTCCTGTGAGTATTAGAGTGAAACCAGAGACTGCCTATTTTCCATAATCTACCAGTAGCAATAGTTCAGCACAAGGAAGTATGGTCCCACTGAGTCCCTTTCAAACACTTGCCATGCTGATGAGAGACTATGTCTTGTGCAGGTAGCAGTAGGTATTGTGAGACAGACCATGGTTGCAATGGCTGTGTGTGCGCGTGCACACATGAATGTGCAATGGCTGTGTGTTTCATGCACACAACATAGCATTTCCCATCTTTCTTTTGATCTTCTGGCTCCTGTAATGTGACAGCCCTCTTTCTCACAGCTCTAAGCTTTAGAGGGGGTGACATAGTTGTCCTGTTTAGGGTGAAACACTTATTCTGGTACCTTGAGATGCCATGAGTCTCTGTACTCACCACAGGTCATTACAATGGGAATTTTTTCCTGGTAATGTTGGCGGTAGCCTTTGTCCATGAGTATACATAGTTAGAATAGTTTGGAATCACATCTCTTAAAACAACTGTTGAAACTTCCTCCAACAAGACTTAAGAACTTTTACTTTGTTCTGTGCTGATAACCGCACATAGGTAATTGATAAGAAGATAATCATTATACAAACTAAGGCCACATGATTCTGCCAGAAGCCCCATGGTGAGAGATCAATGCCCTGGATCATCAAGAATTCTTCACCAGTACATCTGTAATTCAACACACACAAAAATAATGTCAAAGCTCATTCAGCACATTCACTTTCTTCTACATATCATTAAAATTTCTTATTTTTGAGAACAGTAATAATGAAGTTACTAGTTATGAAATCTAAACTGCTTGAATCAGGTCCCTTTGTTAATTTCAAAAACCATTCCAAAGAGGTGTAGCTGTCACATTTATTTAGAATCATAGAGAAAGAATGCTTGGTGAACTTGGGCAAGTTTAGAGAGTCATGCTAAAATCCATCTTTGTTTTCTTCACTATGTCATTCATTTTTCAATCTACAATGCTGCTCTCTCTTCAAAGGACAAAGGCATGGATGAAGGTCTTGTTTCTCCTGAAGGGAAAAACCTTAGCTTCCTAATGACACAGACACTCTAAGAGAACAAAGCTTTGTGCAGTTCTGCTGACTCAGTAGAGCCATGCAAAAGAACACACAGCTTCAAAATCTAGACTGAGGACCAGAGGAGAATAAGGGTTTCTGACAGGAGTCAGTCAATTCCTGTCAGCTGCTATATTAAGTCAGCAGTAACAACCATAGATACTCAGCTATGGAACATTCCCAGCTGCACATGGCTACAGACAGCCTTAGTAGCTGCTGGAGCACAGCAGGATGCAGAAGCCCTGATACAGGATAGAAAAGCAGCTTCTGCTAAAAATTCTGGATAAATTACAATTATTGCTGTGTATCTCCATCCCTGTGTATACACATCCTGTGTGTTTTAATCCCTGTGTGTATCCATCCCTCTGTACATCCATGCCTGTGTGTGTCCATCCTTGTGTCTCCATCCTTTGTATCTCTTAGGATTTAACTGTTCTAAAATCTGCCGAAAGGTCAGATTTCTTCCTCTAGTGAGGATGAGATTGGTGATTCACTTTACCCATCCCCATCCTTCTGACAAGAAAATGGTAATGATTTTGTATTAGAAGGTTGCCAGACTACACTAGCAGAGAGGAGATTTGTGAGAGCACAGAGACTATAGTCATAAAGCTGGGGAACCAGCACTGGACCTAACCAAGTCCTCTGAAAGTGGGTGCCAGCTAGGAGACCTGGGAAGTTTATGGGGCCTCTAAAAGTGGAGCCAGTGTTTATCAGCAGCCCAGATACAGAAAAGAGTGCATAGGTCCTTCCCCAAATGATATGACAGACTTTGATGCTCCCCCATTGAGGGCCTCACTATCCTTGGGGAGTGGGGATGTGGGGGAGTGGGTGGGGATGGGTTGGGGGGTCTGTTGGTAGCATTGGAGGATGGGGAGCAAGGGAATGGGTGGATTGATATGTAAAAATAAGATTCTTTTGAAAATAAAATAATTTAAAAAAGATATTCCTTCTATACTTGTTTTCCTATCAGTAATTCAAACATAAGTTTGCTTTGCTATTTTTCATTATTATTTTAAACATCCATGAGAGATTTAACTTGTCATCATGTTCTTCTCTCATTGATATATCAATATCAAATCAATGAGAACAATCATAGAGAAGGCTGTACTGTAATGTTAAAACAATACACTTTAATTTTATAAACCTGTGTTTCTATTTTAATGGCATTAGACACAAATAAGATTTCCTTCTCAAAATACTGAAATATGTGTTTCTTTCATCACACACACACACATACACACACACACACACACACACACACACACACACACACACACACACTGGCCTTTGCTTTCTTGAAGTCTCCCAGAGAGTGAGCAGAGGGAAGACTCTGGAATCTGGCAGGCACAGCTCAGCCCTTGCTGCCCTTGCTGCCCTGACATTCTTGGGCTCTGCTCACAGGAACCATAATCTACACATGTACAAACTGTGTGCCCTGTGATTTATCAGAGCAGCCTATGTCAGACTCAAATGTTCTGAATCAAGGAACTCAAACCCACAATCAAGACACCAAAACCATTTTTAAAGGCCCAAAGAACCCTTTCTGCACATTGTCTACACCACTGAACAGTAGGATGGAAACACAGCTATATGTGTATTGGTTATAATGACTCACTGTGGGGAATGGGCAAGGGACAGAGTGTTAATCATGAATGGATGGGTTTCCCTTGTAAGTCTAGAAGCATTCTATGTCCCCATTGTGACCCAGAACTACAGCTTACATTACATAGTTCTCACAGCTACTTATTTTTGCTGTTTTGTGCTCTGGACAGAAGTTTTGCCCCAAGAATTCATTGTGTAGCAAAGCCTGTAACACAAACAAAAACAGGACAGACAAATAGTTTAATATTTTTATAGTTTTCCAAAGAATAAACACAGCAATAACTTCAAATACAATCTTGACTGTAATTTCGTGTGTGTGTGTGTGTGTGTGTGTGTGTGTGTGTGTGTGTGTGTGTGTGTGTGTTTCCAGACAGGGTTTCTCTGTCGTTTGGCCCTGAAACTCCCTCTGTAGATCACTCTGGTGTTGAACTCACAGAAATTCACTTGCCTCTGCCTCTCAGGTGCTGGGATTAAATGCTGGAGCCACCACCATCAGGCTCAAAAACATTTAAACAACAAAAACCCCACCAAGTTCAGTCTGCCCAGCAAAGCAGTGCTCCTTCCCCTCTTGGGAGGTTTAGGATTGAAATGAAGGAACTTCCCAACTACTAAGAGGTGGACTCTAACTAGATTACCTCAGGCACCTACTTCTCTTCCCAGTACATAACCATGTAAACATGGTAATTAAAACAATACCATTGATTTATAGTAACAATATTTCTTGTTGCTTTCATCAAAACCAGTTGTGATTATGGCAATAATGAAGTCTGTTAAGATACACTTTACTGCAGAGAAAGCTTGACAATGCCAGTATGGCTGTGGGAATTGTAGGCATTTTGAACGGATCAGATAGGACAGGTATTCTGGCACTCGGGAGTCACAGAATACTGTGTTACACAGCTCAGATGGAAAGGTATCCTGGAGCTCGGGAGCCAAGGACTACCACAGGCTGCAGTAAGCATAGCAGCTTACAGCCCTGCTTCAGGGAGAGTCTTCCCCAGTGTTATCACCTCTGCTCCAGCAGGAGAGGGCCTTCCAGCTGGGCATGTTTGCCTGGTGTACATTTTTACTCCAGCAGAAGGTTCCCGAGTGAAAAGTTGCTACAGTTCAGCTCTGCTCCAGGGAGAGTGGAGAGCAGAGTGTAACAACTCCACTCTGCCAAGGCAAAAGTCTTGCAGCCCTGCTTACTCTGCTCTGCCCAGGGTCACCTCTGCTCTGCTGCAAAAGAAGGTCTTCACCCAAAGCTCATTGAAGGGGTTTATTGGGAGGGAAGAATCCAGGAGAGTGGAGGACAGCCGGGCAGAACCAACAGCCACAAGCTGAACAAACACAGGGTTTATGTATGGCATCCAGGGTGGGGATTGGTCAGATTTAAATCTCCTGCTCAGGGATTGGCTAGTTTTCTGCACAGGGTTAGGGTCAGATTTGGCTCTGGTTTCAGGGCCAACGTGTGTTTCCTTCTCTGGTCCTTTTTAGTCTTTGGCTCTAGTTTTAGGGCCAGGGTGCATTTCTTTCACTGGCTCTGATTCCAGGGACAAAGTGTGAGTCTTCAACACTGGTTTCAGGGTCAGGGTACATTTCTTTGGTTCTAGCTGCAGGGCCAAGGTATGTTTCTTTGGCTCTGCTCTGGGTGTGTTTCTTTGGCTGGTCCCTTTTCCCTACAGATATCACATGTTTCTGTTTCTTTCATCTTCCTGATGTAAACTATGTATTATAGTCCCTAATCCTTTCTTTATTTCCTTATTGGATAGAATCACAACTGTATACTTTTCATAATGTCATCTATCTTTCCTGTTTATCCTGGGATTTTTCTCACCATTTATTTCCCCAAAATAACACATGACTGGGGAAAACCCAACATGACTCACTGGCCTTTGGTAAAACCAACAGGAAAGTTCACATCTTTAGCTCCTGGAAGGAGAATCCTGGGAAGGATCTGGTTAGAGATTACAGCTGGGAAAAGGACTTGGTTTGGAATCATTTCAGGTGCTACATTTGGAGAAGTCAAGTGCAGTAACAGACATAACAACTTACTGTGAATCCATAATGAGGAATGTTAATGTATTGAATGGGAGAAAGTCCAGGTAGTAAGCTTCCTGAATATATTTCCAGAGCTGAGAAAAACTGTGAAGAGCAAAATCAGGAATTAGAACCAGTATGTTGACTAAGAATTCGAGACAAGATCCTCCTCTTCAAGACCCCCTAATCCTTCTGGTCATTTTTGCTGAGACCAGCTCTTTAAATCATTCTTTCAGTTAACTCTAAACAGAAACAGGATTCTTCACTCTACAGAGCCAAGCATCTTTGTGTTTTTAAAAGGAAATCCTGACACCCCTTTGAAGAAGCCAAACCTACAGAAATGACATTATCTTTAAAACAGCATACAACCTATGAACATTCTTTTAATTTTAAATACACCCATCCTACATAGTTAAAATTATCTTTAGATTCCTTATAATATCTAATTTATGTAGTTATATAGTTTATACGGCATAATTCAGGGGATGGTGATATTCCCAGCAGAATAATCATTTGTATCATATATTTTCAACATGTGATTGATTGAATCTTTGACAAGCTGACAGACCAACTGTAGTGATTATTCTAATAAAACTGCTGCCATCCCGGAACCCATGTTAGAAGAAAACTGTCTTGGAACATCATATATCAATTGGATACTAGCTAAATTCACTGTAGAGCAGGGAATGGAAATTCTCTAGGGAGGGCCTCAATCCTTCCTCAACACACTGTGCCTTGCTTTGTTCAGGCCCATGAGGGACCTGCCCCTTTCTGAATGAAGACAGAGAAGGGGTGGGTAGGAAGAGGGTAGATGATAGTCAGGGTTAGGAATAGGAGGAGAGGAGGGAAGGGAAACTGTAATCAGCTTGTAAAATAAATAAAAAACATTAAGTAAATTAAATTAAAAAAACTCTCGATAGTATCATTTTAGGCAAGCCAGTGAGGCATTTCCTAAATTACTGATTGAGGTGACAAGGCCAAGACCAATTGTGTGTGTTTCCTTCCCTGGTCTGGCCATCCTAGGTTCTAGAAGACAGAGGACTGAGTGAGTCACTAAAACAAGCCAGTAAGCAGCAACCTCCATCATCTCTACATCAGCTCCTGCCTCCAGGATCCTTCCTGTTTGTGTTCCTATTCTGACTCCCTTCAGTGATGAGCAGTGATATGAAAGTGTAAGCTGGATGAACCCTTTTCTCCCCACTTGCTTTTTGGCCATGGTGTTTCATCACAGCAATAGAAACCCTAAGTAGAAAAAACACTGAACCTCACATACCCATTTCTACTTCCAAGAATCAATAAGTCTTGTTACTTATGAGTTTTGATTCTCTATTCATGACATTAGGAGTAATATTGGATTCAATTAAAATACTACCTTCAGAAAAACTCAATCCTAGAACTGATAAACCACACAGTGTGGTGAAGAGCAGCACAGAAAGTGACAAATCCCCATTTAAAAAGCTGCCAAACCACAGAATCACATGGAGATGCCAGAAAGCACTGATGGGGATGGACAAGGGGCAGCTATGGAGTTCACAATGAACTTGTCCTATCTACTCAAGTACACCAGAATAAGCAAAACAGTGACTGTGTGTGCATACATTCAGACTGCACCTGACTGTAACTTGCAGTCTTCCCGCCAGCTGCCTGTGTCCCAAGCTGTCTCAGTCACCAAATAACACACAAAACACTATATTAATTATGGATCTGTTAGCCATTTTCTTGGTTTCTTATTGACTAGCAATGACTTAATTATTAAACCATAACTGCTAATGAGAATATTTCCACTTAATCTTCTCTTACCGGAGAAAAAGGTCCAAACCTCTTACTTCTTCTGCATCCTACATCATGACAGACTGTGCTTCTGTTTCCCAGAATCCTCCTCGACTCCTAGTCCCACCTATCTTGCTTCCCTATTGACCAACAGTGCTTTATTTAATAAATCAATAAGACAACATATACACAGAAGGACTTCACCATCACCTGACCAAATGTTTATATAGAAAACATTTGGTTTCATAAGGTCCCACATAGAAACTTTATACAATAACCTGTTGTCTTAGTTCCTTTCCTTTGGCTGTGATAAAACACTATGGCACACAGAGAAGTTGGGAGCTTTTCCAAGTACAAATTACAAACATAATGGGAAAGAAACAAGGTGGGGATCTTGAAAAAATGTAGCCAAATAAAATACTTGAATAATAAAAACTTTAGGATGCTTAAGAGAAAACTGAAGATACCAGGTGATAGGCAGACCTCCCATGATTATAGGTTGGTAGTATAAATATAAAAATAACCATCCTACCAAAAGAAATCAACAGATTCAATGCAATTCCCAAGAAAATTAGAATACAATTCACATAAATTGAAAAAATACTAAATTTTACATGGAAATACAAAAGTCCTTGATTAGCAGAACAATTCTGAGCAACAAAACAGTGGTGAGAGAACCCATCCCCCTTTTGTGTAAGGAATGATTCATCTCCTCTATTGATAAGTGACTTTCATTAGGCCTGCCTGCATATCTGGGAATAAGCACAACGGACTCTGGCACATTTTACCACCCCATACAAAGGGCATCATGCCATTTGCTCTGGTCATACCAAGGTCCCACAGAAAGGAAAAGGACATCAGTCTGGAGATGTCCTACTGCACAGGAGTAATACTTGGGCACATGCTGACATGCTGTACAATTAACACAGTTTACCTAAGTACTCAATCTCTACATCAGTTTTGCAATCACACTTATCAAAAGTAGAAAAAATTAAACTCTATCAACAATATGCATGTCCTTTAGGGAATGAGGTATTGTTAGATTCCTTTTGAGAATCCCCAAAGTGGACAACATGGGACACATTTACTTGTGTATCCAAGAAAGCTTTCTTTCTTTCTTGTTTTGTTTTCTTTTGTCTTTCTTTGTTTTCTTACTCATCAAACTGACATCAGAGCAGTAGCCACAAAGCCTTGAAGGAAAGGCTGTTCCTTCTCTCCTAAAGACCATAATAAGCTTTAGCAAAGGGCCTCATGTCTCAAATCCAGATGTGCCAAACATGTACATGTTCAAGAAGGAACACAAGGAAAATTTTCCTTTCAGGAAAACACAATTCACACTCACCAGCATGAACACAAAGTAGGTCGTCATAAGTACTGTTGGTGTTGTCACTTTATTATTCCTTGTTCCTATAGAGAGCAGCAGGGAACTGGCAGAATAAGCCAATATCATGATGGTAAACAACATAGTGAAGAATCTCTTCAGATCTTTTATGATTCCTTAGAAAGTTAAAAGTGGGGTCAGTTCTTTTACCTAAGTCAAGGGAATTGTACATATTCCAGATAATACTTTAATAACCAACAAGACCAGTAACAGCTTCACAGTCATCCAACTTCTCTGAGTCTGAATCTACTACCTGATCATGTGGATGCTTAGAACAAAACTAGGGGACTTTGGAGGAGCAGCATGTTTTCCTAACCATGTGCATTTCTCCAGTGCTATCATATGGTTTTATTTTTATACTTGCTACAAAATACCTTTCATATATTACCTATTCTCCTCTACACATAAATATGAACAATTTATGGGATCCTGGAATGGAGGGCTACTTGCAACACAACTGGTTAAAATTTTACTGCATTGTCTTACAGGAGAAATCAGCAGTAGAACATGTTCATGTCCACATTTCTTGTGTTTATATAATTGCATTAGTAATGAAATTGGAATCAGGACTTACTGGTAGTTTTTTGTCAGTATAGCACAAGCTAGGATCTTATGGGAAGAGCCAACCTCATTAAGAAAATGCCTCCTTTAGACTGGCCCTAAGGCAAGTCTATGCCAGCATTTTCTTGATGAATAATTCATGTGGGCAGTCTTAGACAACTCTGGATGATGGTATCACTAGGCAGATGGGTCTGGGTTCTATAAGAAAGCAGGATGACTCCCCAGGATCTCCTGGACTGGGAACTGCAGCAAGCTTTACTGGCCCCCTGAAAACAGAGCTACCAAGAGCCTTCTGAGAGAGCCTGCCTTAGCCTACCCCCACTCAGGGCAGAGGGTAGAGTGCAGAGTGCAGAGAGCAGAGCTCCCACCCACTGAGAGAGGGAGTGTCTGAGACCCATCAGTACCCATCAGTGAACTGGACCTGCTTGCACACACCAGAAGAGAACCTTGTACCCATATTAACCAGGAAAGGAAGAGATCACATCTGTACCCATTGAAAGAATGTATGGGAAGATGACAAGAACAAATTCAACGACAGAAAAAACAATATGATGCCACCAGAGTCTAGGGAATGTACACCAGCAAGATCTGAACATCACAACACAGACAAAACAGAAAAGAATGACCTAAAAACAACTTCATGAAGATGATAAAGACCCTTAAAAAAGAAATGAGAAAGTCTTTTAAACAAATGGAAAAAAGACAAACCAAAAATTACAAGAAACAGTTCAAACAGTGCATGGCTTGAAAGCTGAAATAGAGACAATTAAAAAAAACACAGTCTGAAGCAATGCTGGAACTAGAAAACGTGAGTTAACGATCTGAAACCACAGATGCCAGCATAACCAACAGAATAGAGGAGTTAGAAGAGAGAATCTTAGGTGTTGAAGATTCATTAGGAGAAATAGATTCATCGACCAAAGAAAATGTTAAGTCCAAAAAATCCCTAACAGAAAATATCCAGGAAATATGGGACACTGTGAAAAGGCCAAATCTAAGAATAATAGGTATAGAAGAAGGTGAAGAAATCCACTTCAAAGGTACAGAAAACATATTCAACAAAATCATAGAAGAAATATTTCCAAAACTAAAGAAAGACATGCCAAAGAAAGTACAAGGAGTCTACAGAACACCAAATAGACTGGACCACAAATAGAAGTCCCCTCACCACAAAATAGTAAAAAGCCCGATCATACAGAATAAAGAAAGAATATTAATAGCAGCAAAGGAAAAAGGCCAACTAACATATGATGGGGGAAGTCCTATGTATATGTCAATAAAGCACTGTTGGGCCAATAGGGAACCAAGATAGGTGGGGCTAGGAGTCCAGGAGAACTCTGGGAAGGAGAAACACAGAGAGTAAAAGAGTAATAATAGATAAATAAATAAGCCACGTAAAGATGGAAAATACACAGAGTCTGGTTACTGTACGCTATTGTGTTTTTCAGTTTTTTGATTGCTCAGGAAGGAACAACTGCTAAAGTACACTTGATTATAAATGCTACTGAATTAATTCAACTTATATCTTTTGAAAATGCCTTGACTTCAAAATTTAAGTATAAGAATATGTTATTTGGGAAAGGAGTTTTTGTTTATGTTTCTACAGAAAATGAAAAGCTGAGGATTCCTTCCAGGCTTCTGTGGTTTGATGAACCAAGACCTCCAGAAACAGTGGACCAGGTGTTCCAACCACTAAAACAGCTAAGATGATGGAGCTTTACAGACCACGGAAATAAGGACTTGTACAGGTTTCTGAGTTTTGTCATGATCCCCATGGTATGAACAGCACCCCCTTCCAGCATGAAGCAGTTTGGAATGAGCGACATCCTAATTCCCATCTTGTTTATAAACCTTTGTTTTCACTTAAATGGAATTGTTTATAATTGGTTAATGATCACAACCAATCTCTTTTTAATGGTAAAAAGGGGAATTATGGAATGGGTATGGTTTTTCATTTACTGATACAAACTCAAGGTCAGTTTTGTGATGTGTATATTTTTCCTCTTGATTAAGTATTGTGCTCATACTGATCTTTTAAAACATAATGCATAACTGAATACAGACTATAGATATTTACTTATAATAGAATTTATAGTTAGGTAAGTTAGGTTTTCTAGATATACAGAAATATATTTGAGATAGATAGACAATCTTCAAACCTTTAAAAGACCTTCAGAAAATGGCATTTAAAATGGTTTAGGGTTTTTCTTGACAATGAGAAATGTCTGCTCCTGGCAGCGCCAATTACATCTGAGAGGAAGATGGGCATCGAAGAAACTTGTTACGGAGTTTGCTTTCAACATGGCAAGATTAGCCATTTGGGCAAGAAACTGCTCTTGCCTAGATTGTTTGACTGTTGCTGTATAAACTGGACATACAGGACCCACAGGAAAGTGACTACTGAACTCAGTCTTACAGGGTTCCTACTTCATGGATGAGTCTACAAGACTTTCTGCAGGACAAAGAAAAATGACTGATAGACTGCCAATGCAGATGGACAGTATGAAATTTCCTGCTTTGTTGAGAAATCTTCTGGATACATTGTGGCCTATGGGCTGAAGATGGATGCCCCAACGTTACAGAGGAACTTCGGGTGACTGTCCTGCAGTAAGATGTCTCTGTCAATCCTAGTGCTTATATATTATCCTTCTGTGGTCTTTGATGGAGTTGAAGACAGATTGTTATAATTATAGTTTTCCTTAGTTATGATAAAAGATAAGCTACATATTGGACTTTTGGACTCACAAGGATGAGATAGATAATATTTTCTTTAAATCTTGCTTAATGTTGATAGACAAAATATTGTAACTGTGTTATTACTTGATAACTGTTCTTTTATATATAATTTGACAATGTTAAAGTTAAGACCTTTCTTTTTGTTTAGACAGAAAAGAGGAGATGATGGGGGAAGTCCTATGTATATGTCAATAAAGCACTGTTGGGCCAACAGGGAACCAAGATAGGTGGGGCTAGGAGTCCAGGAGAACTTTGGGAAGGAGAAACACAGAGAGTCGAGATGTAACGCCATGGGGTAGGAAGCCCGGAAACTTCTCCAGTAAGAGACATACTTAGATTAACAATTATGGGGTAATTACTTAAGTCAGAGCTAGCCAGTAAGAAACAAGCAAGGCCAACAGCTTCATAATTAATATAGTCTCCTGTGTGTTTATTTGGGACTGATGTGGCTCTAGAACCAGGCTGGTAGGAAGGCTTCTCACAAGGAAAAAGCTTCTCTTTACAAACATACAAAGGCAAACATATCAGAATCATACCTGACTTTTCCATGGAAACTCTCAAAGCCAGAAGGTCCTGAATAGATATTCTGCCAACACTAAGAGAGCACAGATGCCAGTCCAGACTACTATACCCAGCAAAGCTTTCAATGACTATAGATGGAGAAAACAAGATATTCCATGACAAAACCAGATTTAAACAATACATACCCACAAATCCAGCCCTACAGAAAGTACTGGAAGGAATACTTCAATTTAAGGAAGGTAACTATGCTCACAAAAACATACGCAATAGATTATCCAACTTTACCAAAAGACAAAAGAAAAAGGGAGGTAAATCCACAAACAATTACACCACCAATAACAAATCAAAAACAAACAAGAATTAACACTCAATGGTCCTTAATTTCCCTCAATATTAATGGTCTTAATTTGCCTATAAAAAGACACAGGCTAACAGAATGGATACGAAGCATACTACATCCTTCTGCTGCCTACAAAAACACACCTCAACTTCAAAGACAGACATTACCTCAGAGTAAAGGGTTGGGATAAGATTTTCCAGTCAAATGGATCCAAGAAACTAGCTGGTGTAGCTATCCCAGTATCAAACAAATTAGACTTCAAACTAAAATCAATCAAAAGAGATAAAGAAGGTCATTTCGTATTCATCACGGGAAAAATCCATCAGAATAAAGTCTCAATTCTGAACATCTACGCCGCAAATACAAGGGTGCCCACATTTGTAAAAGAAACATTACTAAAATTCAAATCACACATAAGACCTCACACAATTATAGTGGGAGGAGACTTCAACACCCCACTGTCACCTCTAGACAGGACTACGAGACAAAGAAACAAAGGAACTAACAGAAGTTATGACCCAGTTGGGTTTAACAGACATCTATAGAACATTCCACCCAAATACAAGAGAATATACCTTCTTCTCAGCACCAAATGGGACCTTCTCTAAAATCACCCACATAATTGGAAGCATGGCAAACCTCAACAGGTATAAAAAATTGGAATAACTCCCTGTATCTTATCAGACCACCATGCTTTAAAGTTAGAATTCAATAACAACACGAATTGCAGACACCCTACAAACTCATGGAAATTGAACAACGTGCAATTGCACCATTCTTGGGTCAAACTTATAGGACACTTTGAAGGCAGTACTAAGAGGAAAGTTCATAGCACTAAGTGCAAATATGAAAAAACAGGAGAATAGTCATAGGAAGAACTAACAGCACAACTGAAAGCTTAAAACAAAATGAAGCAAACTCACCCAGGAGGAGTAGACACCAGGAAATAATCAAATTGAGGGCTGAAATCAATAAAGCAGAAACTAGGAAAACAATACAAAGAATCAATGAAACAAAGAGTTGGTTCTTCGAGAAAATCAACAAGATAGACAAACTTCTGTCCAAACTTACTAAAAGACAAAGAGAGAACATGCAATCAACAAAATCAGGAATGAAAAGGGGGACATAACAACGGACACTGAGGAAATCCAGAGAATCTTCAGGTCATACTTTCAAAAACTGTACTCCACAAAATTTGAAAATTTAAAGTAAATGGACAATTTTCAGGACAGATACCACTTACCAAAATTAAATCAAGAGCAGATAAGCAATCTAAACTGACCTATAACCCCTAATGAAATAGAAGCAGTCATAAAAATCTCCCAACCAAGAAAAGCCCAGGTCTAGATGGCTTCAGTGCAGAATTCTGCCAGAAATTTAAAGAAGAGCTAACTCCAATACTCCTCAAAGTGTCCCACACAATAGAAGCAGGAGGTTCAATGCCGAACTCTTTTTACGAAGTTACAATTACCTTGATACCCAAGCCACACAAAGACACAACTAGGAAAGAGAAGCACAGACAAAATTCCCTCATGAACATTGATGCAAAAATACTCAATAAAATATTAGCAAATCTAATCCAAGAACATAAAAGAAAAATCATCCACCATGATCAAGTAGGCTTCATGCAGGGATGTAGTGATGGTTCAACATAAGAAAATCTATCAATGTGATTCACCATATAAACAAACTGCAAAAGAAAAACCACATGATCATCTCACTCCATGTGGAAAAAGCCTTTGATAAAACCAAGACCCCTTCATGATAAAAGTCCTGGAGAGATCAGGGATAACAGGAACATACCTGAACATAAGAAAAGCAATATACAGTAAACCAACAGCTAACATCAAACTAAACAGACAGAAACTCAATGCAATTCCTCTAAAATCAGGAACAAGATAAGGCTGTCTTCTCTATATATATCTCTTCAGTATTGTACTTGAAGTTCTAGCTAGAGCAATAAGACAAGAAAAGGAGATCAAAGGGATACAAGTTGGAAATGAAGAAGTAAAACTCTCACTATTTGCAGATGATATGAGTTTACATAAGTGACCTGAAATACTCTACAAGGGAACTCCTATAGCTTATAAACCCCTTCAGCCAAGTGGCAGGATACAAGTTTAACTCAAAAAAATCAGTAGCCCTATTATATACAGATTATAAATGGCCTGAGAAAGAAATCAGAAAAACATCACCCTTCACAATAGCACCAAACAACATAAAATATTTGGGGATAATGCTAACCAAACAAGTGAAAGACCTGTACAGCAAGAACTTTGAGTCTTTAAAAAAAGAAATTAAAGAAGATACCAGAAAAATGAAAAGAACCCCCATGCTCTTGGATTGGTAGGATTAAGATAGTAAAAATGGCAATCCTGCCAAAAGCAATCTACAGATTCAACGCAATTCCCATAAAAATACTGGCACAAATTTTCACAGACTTTGAAAGAACAATACTCAAATTTATATGGGAAAAAAAGACCCAGAATACCCCAAACTACCGTGTACAATAAAGCAGCTTCGAGAGGCATTAGTATCCCTGACATCAAGCTCTATTATAAAGCTATAGTCCTGAAAACAGCTTTGTATTGGCACAAAAATAGACATGTAGAACAATGGAATCAAATTGAAAACTCTGATACTAATCCACACACCTACAAACACTTGATTTTCGACAAAGAAGCTAAAATAATACGTTGGAAAAATGATAGAATCTTTAAAAAATGGTGCCAGCATAACTGGATGCTGGCATGTAGAAGACTGCAGATAGATCCTTGTCTATCACCATGCACAAAACTTAAGTCCAAATGGATCAAAGACCTCAATATAAATCCAACCACACTGACACTCTTAGAAGAGAAAGTGGCAGGCACCCATGAACGAGTTGGTACAGGAGACTGCTCCCTGAACATAACACCAGTAGTACAGACACGGAGATCGCCAATTAATAAATGAAACTTCCTGAAACTGAGAAGCTTCTGTAAGGCAAAGGACACAATTAATAAGACAAAAAGGCAGCCCACAGAATGGGAAAAGATATTCATTAATCCCACATCTGATAGAGGGCTGATCTCCAAAATTTACAAAGAACTCAAGAAGCAACTCTCCAAAACACCAAAGGATCCAATTATAAAGTGGACTACAGAACTAAATAGAGAATTCTCAATAGAGGAGTCTAAAATGGCTGAGAGAAAGTGCTCAACATCCTTAGCCATCCGGGAAATGCAAATCAAAACAACTCTGAGATACCATCTTCCTTCTGTCAGAATGGCTAAAATAAAAAACATCAATGACAATTTATGCTGGAGAGGATGTGGAGAGAGGGGAACACTCCTCCACTTATGGTGGTAGTGCCAACTCGTACAGCCACTTTGGAAATAAATATGGAGATTCCTCAGAAAAATGGGAATCAGTCTACCACAAGACCCAGCAATTTCACTCTTAGGCATATACCCAAAAGATGCCCATTCATACAACAAGGGCATCTGTTTCACTATGTTCATAGCAGCATTATTTGTAATAGCCCGAACCTGGAAGCAACCTAGATGCCCCACAACTGAAGAGTGGATAGAGAAAATGTGGTACATTTACACAATGGAGTACTAAGTAGGGGAAAACAACAATGGAATCTTGAAATTTGCTGGCAAATGGATGGCACTAGGAGAAACCATCCTGAGTGAGGTAACCCAGTCACAACAAGACAAGCATAATATATAGTCACTCATATATGGGTTTTAGGCCTGAAACATGGGAGTGACGGCCTACAATCCCCAGCCAGAAAATCTGGGAAACAACAGGACCCTAAGGGTGATATGCATGGTAACCCAGAGAAGGGAAACAGGACAGAATCTTCTGAGGGGCTTGGGAGCCTGGGTGGAGAGGTGAGGAAGCTGGGAAACAGACAGGGGTGAAGAGGAGGAGAGAGGAGGACATGGGGGAGCAGGAAAATTGAGTAGGAGGAAGAATAGAGGAGAGAAAAATGAGAAATACCATAATAGAAGGACCCATTAAAGGTCTGAAGAGAGATTTGGTACTAGTGAGATGTCCAGATGTCCAGAGGCCTACAAGGATGACACCAACTGGCAACCTAGCCAATAGTAGAGAGGCTACCTTTAATGCCCTTCTCTATAATGTGATTGATGACTTCCTTGTATGCCATCCTAGAGCCTTCATCCAGTGGCTGAAGGAAGCAAAGGCAGACACCCACAGCTAAACACTTAACTGAATCCCTGGAACCCAGTTGCAGAGAGGGAGGAGTGATGAGCAAAGGGGTTACGACTTGGCGGGTGAAACCTACAGAATCAGCTTACCTTAACAAGGGGGAACTCATAGACCCCAGACTGATGGCTGAGAGGTCAGCATGGGACTGATCCAGATGCCCTGAGTGTGGGTGTCAGTGAGGAGGCCTCAGAATCCTTTGGTGCCTTAGGCAATAAATCAGCATTTAACCCTGTTATCCAGATGGACTTTGGGAGCCCATTCCACCTGGAGGGATGCTGTCTCCACCTGGACACATGGGGGAGGGTCTAGGCCCTGCCCCAGATCTTTTGACAGACTTTCCAGATCTTCCAAGAAGGGCCTCAACCTCCTTGGAGTGTGGAATTGGGATTGGGAGATGGTTGAAGGGGGTGAGAGAGGAGGGGAGGGAGAAGGAGCTAGGATTGACATGTGAAGAAAACTTCTAATTTAAATTAAATTTTAAAAAATTTTAAAAAGATAGCAGACAGAGGAAGTCATTAGGATCAAGGTAGTAACATTGCAAAAGGTATGGATAGATATGTAATAAGTTAGATGGCATATGGTGGAAACATGTTTTTCTACTTATGCTTCTCTACTTTAAGCTTGCCAGAGTTGCACAAACCAAAACATAGTCCCCCAAGAGTAAAGATGCATTTTCTTGCTTTGTCACTTACCTGCTATGCTGACTACCACAACAGTGAATATGATACTTGGCAATAACACCCTGGGTACCAGCTCAGCCAGAAATTTCCCAAGGAAATATGATGACACTCTGTAGTATCCACTGGTATGCTCGTGTCTACAGAGACAAAGATAACATTATACATCCTTAAATTAGTCCAGAAGGGACAGGTGAGATGCTGGCTACACTGACCTCTGCTACCACAGGGAACCTAACAGGACAGTGTCCCCTATGCTCCAGGCTGACTCCCATACATGTCCCCATCTTAGGGACCAGCATCTTTGGGCCATCATCCTTATAACATTGTCACTTTGATTCTCCCCATCAAAAAACTCTCCCCTCTTTTGTCTACTCTGGGCACACAAGTGTCCTTCCATGGAAACAGTCTGATGAGCCCACTCTCCTCAGGGTCTCTGCCCCTCTGGAGCTGTCTCCCAGAGAAGTTCATTTGTACCTCATCTCAGACAGTGGTCATCTGTCACTCTGAGGTCACAGTACAGTTTCAGGACACTACATCCTTTTCTTCAGCTACTCTTGTTTTAGGACAGATTTATTCCTTCATTACTCTCTTTTATAACCACAAGTCTTTACCAGATACCAAACCTAATCTTTTCCCTGCTGGTCCTTCTGAATCCCAAGTTCAGAGTGGTTTTAAATTCTATATGTATCCAAGAATGACCATTCTCCTACCTCTACTCCACCCCCATATGGCCATGCTCATGGTTTTGTGTGTGTGAACCTACACAGGGTTTCATGCACACAAAGTAAACACTCTATCAACTGAGTGAGGTCCTCAGCTCCTGTCTGAAGTCTCCTCTCCTTGGCATGTACTTGGGGCAAATCTTGGCCATCTTTGTGAGCAATGAATCCTAAGAATAGGCCATCAGGAAAAGGTTCTTTCATGTGTGAAAAACACAGGAGATGAACAGCTCTTTCTACACAGCTGCTGTCTGGCTCTTTCCACCTCTCCATCCCCAGGCTGTGCACACTCTCATTATTACACAGCTGCAACTCTCCAGTTCCAGTGTGCAGCTGAACCCACTACATGGAAGTGCCATGAACCCCTGACATCTTTATTGGGGGGAGGAGATCACAAATTTCCTGTGATTTTTCGTCCCCTCCTGCTGTGTTGTCTGCAGCACTGAGATCTGGTGACCACACCCCAAATTTGAAACTTTCTCTGAACAGCAGACACCTCTGCCCCTGATTTCCCATCCAAATTTCATTAATATCAGTAATCTCTTTTATATTTCAAAAATCATGATACCATATGATAAACTCAAATTTTCATAATGTGTTTATTTTCAACTAAATAAGTAATAAATGGCAGAATTACAGATAATTTATGAAATGACATGCTAGGCACAACCATGAACATAATCAGCTTGATCACCAGCCCCTGATGCCTGTGCCTGGGGCAGGAGCTACTCACAGAAAGCGATTCCTGTCGATCACAAAGAGGTTCCTGGGATACATGCTTATCACACACTGGAAGACGGTGAGTGAGAATAGTAGGCTGGCTCTGCCAGAGGAGAATGGGAACAAAAGCAACAGTAAATTCAACAGTAGGTTGGTTTCTTTGTAACACATCGTGTTTTGTAGATTGAATAACATTACACAGATCTATTCTTTAAAAAAATGAGTACTGGAGAGATGTCTCAGCAGTAAAGAGTGCTTGTTGCTTTTGCAAAGGACCCAGGAATGTTTGGCAGCACAATCATGGTGGGTCACAGCCTTCTGTCACTCCAGTTCTAGAGAGCCTGTGCTTCCTAGTTTCTAGTTTTATGCTGACTTGACACAAGCTAGGGTTATCTAGAAGGGAACCTCAATTGAGCAATTGTCTCCATAAGGTCCATTGTAAGGCATTTTCTTAGTTACTGATGGATGAAGAATGGGCCAGTCCACTGTGGGTGGTACATCGCTGTAATTGAACATTTTTCTTCACCATGCCATTTCCCGAGTAACCACTCAAAGGGTTAATATTAATTATAACTGTTTGGCCAATAGCTCAGGATTATTATTAGCTGCTGGCATGTTGTGTCTTGGGCAGCTAGAGGCCGTCTTGCAGATTCTGCTCTTCTTCTCCTGTATCTCTGCTTAGATTTCCTGCCTGGCTTTATCTGACCTTGCCAGAGGCAAAAGCAGTTTTATTTATAAACCAATAAGAGAAATACATATTCACAGCTTACAGAAAGTCATTCCACAGCACATCCCTGACCTGATGGTCCTGGCTTCTGTAAGGAAACAGGCTGAGCAAGCCATGGGGAGCAATCCAGTAAGCATAACCTCTCCATGGCCTCCTTTCTTCCTAGTTTGAGTTCCTGTCCTGACTTCCCTCAGTGATGAACTACAATGTGGAAACAAAAGCTGAATAAACCATTTCCTCCACAACTTGGCTTTTGGTCATGTATTTAATCTGATCAATAGTAACCCTAACCAAAACAGGATCCAATGCCTCCTTCTGATAGCCACACAGACATGCATGAAGGCAAACACTCATACACATAAAAGTAAAACAAGTATTTAAAGAATAAAGAAGGAAAATGTGGAAGTGTTCTGGTTAAAAGGTCAGGTGTTATGAGTCCCATTATTATTTTACTTTTTGTCCCCTCAGTAGTGTCTATTAATTTAATTATTCCCTTGATATCTAACAGTTTGATAATAACCTTTAATATAATGTTCCTAAAGAATGAAATTTATAATTTAATTGGTTTAAGTGAAATTATGAGAGTGGAGCCCCATGATATAATCTCTGTCCTCATCATGGGAAGAAACAGAAATGCAGTGGCTGCCAGGAAAGGGCTGAGAAGAGGTGACCAGACAGGAAGACCTGGGGGAGAGTCCTCACCTCAGACTCTCACACAGTGGTGTGATTTACTTTTAAATCCTCTGACCTGTGGTATGTAGTTATGGCAGCCTAACCCATCACTTCATTTTAACTAACAAAGTTGGTAAGCATCTTTCCTAATGTATAAAGAGAGAAACATAAAGACAAATAAAACTCCCAGGGATCTTTATATTCCATTGGCCACTTTGATTTCACAGAATATGAAAGAGTGGGGGAATTCCCACCCAGCAGCTTACTGTAGTCATGGATTGTGGAAACATCTTTAAAGACTTGGTTGTCCCTAAAATAGGTCAACAACTTTCTGCATAGTTTCCAAAGAGCTCAAATATGAATTCAATTATATTTTCTTATGAAGAAATTGTTTGTGTCCATTGCATAGGGGATGGTAAACAGGAGGATGGGGAACAAAAGGCCCTCTGCAGCTGTTTCCTGGACACACATGTCAGTTTCCTCTAAGACATACAGCATCACTAGCATCAGTGGGGCCTAACAGCTTGCTATATAACACCTTTTCAACTGATAGTCAGGGGTCAGTGACTATCTAGGTTCACAATTAGACATCAGATCAGGTGAGGGAGATCTTATTGGAGAGAGTAGTTTCCTCCTGCATCAAAGAAAAATTCCATTTTGCACTTTAGCAAAGTCAGATTAAAGAGAAAGTATTGAAAAGAAAAGACAACCTAAGAATGGGTAAGACTCTGAGAAGATCAGAAACCCTGAACTGTGGGACTCCTGGAACTTGGAAGACAGGGGCACGAGGAATGCCTGGGCTATATGACAAGGTCTGGAACTGTCAGTCACAACTGTGGCCCTGCTTCCATGGTCCAAACATAGAACAGAAGACATGGGCACCCCATAACCAACAACTGAGCAGAGGACCAGGGCATCCCATAACCAATAACAGAACAGAAAACCTGGGCACTACAAGCCAAAAACAGTGCAGAGGGCCTTGGCACCCCATGACCGACCCACAGAGCAGAGGACCTGGGTTTACCCTCCTCTCCTAATGAGCATGTCTTGCTTTCAAGGATCATCTGTTTAACTTTACTAAATACACAATTTTCACTCTCTCCACTCTTCCATTCCCCCACACACACACCCATTCCCCGATAACCAGGGAATTCTCCATCTCTCTGTCTCCAAAAGTTGTCCTCAAGTTCCATCTGTACTTACTTTCATGTTTTTATCAACAAAAGCAGTAACATTGTGGCCCTGGCTATACTTAGCCATTTATATAACATCTACTTTCTGATCTGTAGTTTTAGATATTAAAATTGTAGGTTCACAACCTACAGCTACACATTTTATGTATAAAACTAATATGATTCAGGAATAATTTTGTGAAATAAATTATATCAAACTAAATTAGGTGCTGTCCATCATTAGAAATATATATCATTTTTATGGGAACACATTAGAAATATATCTCAAAAACTTTGAAATGTATATTAATATTTGCTGGGATTGAATGTGCTGTATAATTTATTTTAAAAGAATAAAATCTTAATTCTCATGTTTAACAGATTTTATACTCTTAACCTATATGGAAAATTGTAGTGTACAGTATGCTGCTTGGAGGACAATTGCTTGTAATTCACATGTAAGTGAAACATGTGCGTCTTTCTGGGTTTGGATTATTTTACTTTACATGATGTTCCTCAAATCTTCAATTCTATCCATATTGTTACAAATTCTCATTTTAAAGATAAGCAGCATTCCAAATCACATTTTCTGTACCAGCTATCTGTTGGAAGACAGTTAAATTCCTTAACTGGGTTACTGTGTCTAAAACTCCAATGAAATTCAGACATCACAAGCATTTTGGATAAATGATTTTCAACAGTCATATAAGTATGCACAGGATAAATGTCTGTGTCTAATTATTTCTTTTTATGTTTTTATTTAAATTAGAAACATGCATGCTTCAAATGTCAATCCCAGCTCCCTTTCCCACCCCTCCTGACTTGTCTCTCCACCAGCCCCCTCCCTCCCCTCTCCTAGCCCAATCCCCACATCATTCCCCAGGGAGGGTGAAGCCCTCCTTAAGGGGATCTGCAGAGTCTGTCATTCCATTCAGGGTAGGACCTAGGCTCTTCCCCATGTGTCCAGGCTGACAGAGCATCCCTCCATGTGGAATGGGCTCCCAAAGTTCATTTTTTACACCATGGTGAACACTAATCTACTACCCAAGGCCCCAGAGATTTCGAGGCCTCCTCACTGACACTACATTCATGGAGTCTGGATCAGTCCCTGTTGGCCTCTCAGTCATCAGTATGGGGTTCAAGAGATCCCCCTTGTCCAGTAAGCTGTCTTTGTCGGTTTCACCAGCATGGCCTTGACCCCTTTGATCATCACTCTTCCATCTCTGCCACTGGGTTCCAGGGGATCAGTCAGTGTTTAACTGTTAGTATCTGTCTTTGCTGCCATCAGTCACTGGATGAAGGTTCTAGGATGGCATATAAGGTAGTCATCAACCTTATCATCAGGTAGGGACTATTAATGTAGTCTCTCTATTGTTGCTTAGTTTGCCAGTTGGTGTTGTCCTTGTAGATCTCTGGAAATCTCACTAGTGTCAGCTCTCTCTTCAAAGCTATAATGACTCCATTTATTATGGTATCTCATCCTGCTCTCCTCTATTCTTACCCTGACTTACTCCCCCATGTCTTCTTCTCCCCTCCTCTTATCCCCCTCTCTTTTTCTGGTTCCTCTCCCCTCCCCCATGTTCTCAATCTGCTTAGGAGATCTTGCCTCATTCCACTTCTCTGGGGTATAATACATATCTCTGGGAACCTCCCTGTTTCACAGACTCACTGGCCCTGGGATTATAGGCTGACACTCCCCTGATCCATGTCTAAAATCCATATATGAGTGATTACATACCATGTTTGACTTTTTGTGACTGGGTTACCTCACTCAGGATGGTTTCTTCTAGTGCCATCCATTTGCCTGCAAATTTCATTGTTCCATTGTTTTTTTTTCCAATGAGTAGTACTTCATTGTGTAAATGTACCACATTTTCTCTATCCACTCTTCAGTTGTGGGGCATGTAGTTTGCTTCCAGGAACTAGCTATTACATACAATGCTGCTATGAACATAGTGAAACAGATGTCCTTGTTGTATGAATGGGCATCTTTTGAGAATATGCCTAAAAGTGGAATTGCTGGATCTTGTGGTAGAGTGATTCCCATTTTCTTGAGGAATCTCTATACTGACAAGAAATTCTATACTGATTTCCAAGGTGGCTGTACAAGTTTTCACTCCCACCAGCAATGGACTAGTGTTCCCTTTTCTCCACATCCTCTCCAGCATAAGCTGCCATTTTTGTTTTTGATTTTAGCCATTCTGACAGGAGTAAGATGATTTCTCAGGGTTGTCTTGATTTGCATTTCCCAGATGGCTCAGGATGTTGAAAAATTTCTCAAGTGCCTCTCAGCCATTTTAGACTCCTCTGTTGAGAATTCTGTATTTAGTTCAGTCCCCAACTTTTTAATTGGGTCCTTTGGGGATTCTTCTTTCAGATCTATGGGGTGCCATTCAGGAAGATGAAGAAATGCCCTACATTTAGACTGTGATGATGGTCGCATAATATGAAGCTTCTCCATATACTACAACTAATAAAACGTGAAATGTGTGGTGTTATAGATTCATATTATCTACACAGAAACATTTGTGAAAAGGTGAATTCCTCCACTCAGTCTTCAATATATGAACACATTCTATCACATGGTAAGGTGTTTACTCTGTTCTTGTTACAGATTCCAATTCTTTTTTTTTTTGAGACAAGGTTTCTCTGTTTTGCTTTGGAGCCTGTCTTGGAACTCACTCTGTACCACAGGCTGACCTGGAACTCATAGAGATCCACCTGCCTCTGCCTCCTGAGTGCTGGTATTAAAGGTGTGCTGGCATCACTGCTCGGAAAATCCCAACTTTTAATGGATTTATATAAGTTTGCAAAAAGTAACAGCATTTTGTTATCTGCTTACCTCCTCTGGACTTCAATACAATCATCTTGTAGGAAATGGAAGATAGTACCCACAATTATGGCCACCATGACTGAGTTGATTGCCTTTCAAAACAATACAGGGGAAAATTTTCCATTAGGAGTAGAAATTGTTTTACACATTGTCCATTATTTTCAGATACATAGTTTCTTAATCAGATCTCTCCAGTAAGATAAACACTATGTTTTGGTCAGGATACTGGGAGAATAGAAAACACATATGTCAATAAACTGCTTGGAAGTCAAACTGAAAATTCAGGTCTCTGAAATCTGAGGCTCTGACTGGACAGACCCTGGGAAGCTTAGACTTCTCCCAGTCCTCCACCGGGAAGGGCCAGTGAAGGGCTCAGTTCGGGCACTGAAACACGGATGACACAGGCAGAAAGAGAAGGCAGGCACCTGGGAGGTTAGGAAACACACCAAATTAAGTGACAAAAAGTGTTCACAAAAACTGAGATATCAACTCTGATGCCAGTGAGCATGGGCAACTTTCTACTTCAAGTGACTGAAAAGACTTCAGGCTCTTTTTACTCTTGTAGTTAGAAACAAATACACCCCAGGCCTGGAGGACAGCTTGGGGGCAGAGCCCTGAACAATATACAGGAGATTCTGATCCCCTCAACTGCAAACCAAATAAGGAAATTAAAAATGACTCGCGACACAGTTCCTAGCAATGGGATTTTGTGTGCTAAGAAGGGGTCAGTTGGTCCTCACCTTTGTCACCTCTGGGAAATCTGTGCCTGTGTGGGAAGGAAAACTATTGTTGTATTGCTGCCACCAATGTATACACACAGCGTCCTTTGGGTCACTTGATGGTCCCTTGCCCATCGTCTCTGTCACTGCTGCTCCATCAACCTCCGCTGGAGCAGTCTGTGCTAAGCTGTCAACTCTTCCAGCCTCTCATCTACCTCCATTGACTCAATCTGTGCAGATAGTCGCTGCTTTGGTTTTGGGTTAAAATGGCTTTAAAAGGTGCTGCACTTACCAGAGGTGTAAGGATACATGATGCAGTAACTTATTTGAAAGATTCTAAATATTATTCCTCTACTACTGTTTAGAAAATTATTATCTAAGGGAAAGCATCCTACCATTTAACTTGATAATTTAGAAACTCAAATCCCTGGACTTGGAGATAGGTCTCAGCAGTTAAGAACACTTGTTCTTGAAGAGGACCTAGAATTCAGCTCCTAGCACCTGAATGGCCCCTAGCAACCTGATGCCTTTGTGTATGCATATGATGGAAAGTTATACATGCAGACAAAACACCAACATGAAATAAATAAATAATTAATTAAAATTATTCCACAATTTCTAGCATTGCCAACACACATATTTTTATCTTATGATACTGCTCAGTGTTAAACAAAATGAATAACCCTTTTTGATGAGTGAAACTCACCTAATACAAATCATATCAAATCTTTGGTTGTCAAAGAAATCAAACACAAAAATACCCCTTTTATTATATAAACGTACAAGATTAAAACCAAAGTATTTGGAGCAACAGACAGTATAACTCAAATGGAAAGAATATTCACATACACTGCGGGAAAGCAGAAATATTTAAATATGAAAACGCTGGTAATCATATGTAGAACAGTCCTCTATTACAGTCAACAACATCCAACCTTTCAGTATTCGGCAGAAACTAAATGCCTGAGAATAAAATAACAAGACACTAAAAGAAGAACTGACTCCATGCTCTGGTTGGACAGGGCCAGGGATGTAGGTCCAGGGAAGAGTGTTTGCCCTCCAGTGGCTAAAGCCCTGGGATCAATAACTAACACAGTAGAATCATTGACCTCCTGAATAAAAATGAATGAGTAAGTGATGGCCCAATGAGCTGGAAAAACTTCATATCTGTGTGTCATTCAGTTAAAATAACAGATATGATGATGCTTGCTATAGAGCCAGTTTAAAGAAAGGAAGAATGTCACTTCCTCCCAGTTCTCAGTTATCTGACAGGGGAGAGCAAAGTTCAGTCCAGTTACTTTCTGTATGTGAACTGCACTCTGTGAGTAGCTACTGCTTTCACACCTTAGACTCCAATAAGGGAAAAGCATCCCACAGAAGACTCATCTGTAAGGCAGTAGATGTACAGACTCCTCAAAGTGGTCCAATGGCCCTGTTTCCTCACCTCACAATTTCAACTACAGATCAACTCTCCTTCCTCTCTCCAGTCATCTCCACCCCTTCTTTACTTTAACTTTCTCCAAGTCCATTCTCCCATCTGACACTCTACAAATCCATCTATTTATCCAGTTACCATCCATCCACCCACAGGAACAGTTGCATCAGGAAAAAAAGCCTTTTTCTCCCTTATTCAGCCCTGGACTTGAACTTGTAAGATACACAGTGAATTAAAGTAAACAGATGCGAGGAACTCTCAAGTGGGATGAAATACCATTTGTACTCCCTGAATTAAATTTCCTACTTGAATTAGTCACTATAGTTCCTCTAAATAAAATCAATCACTAAAAACATTCCAAAAGTAAAAAGTTAATTAGGTTTTGCTTGCTTTATTGAAAATTTCTATGAGCCAAGTAGATATGAGAGGACAAATACATGGAAGGGAGTAGAAGGTAAGTGTGACTGAAGTAGACTCACTCAGAGTCAAATTGCTCCCAATGGAGTTTTCCACAACACAATTAAAATAATTCATCTGATTACCTGAATTGTAGTGAACCATGAAAAATCCAGGAAGTTTTTGAATGAACGACAGATAATCCACCAGAGCTGATGCCAGAAAGGGGTGACACACGTGACCTCCTCCAAGGCTGAGCTCCTCCCGGCCTTCTGTTCCCCCAAGAGTGGATCCAGTTCAGTTCTCACTTCTTTGTATAAGGAGGACTGGACATACATATTGGCTAATTGTTCTGTGACTTGGTGCTGTCTCTCAGAAAGTTCTTTATGATTGTTGGCTTTAGGATAAAAATGGATAAAGACAAGAAACAGACAATATTTTAACTGATTTTTCTGAGACACTTTTCATGAATATCACATAAATTATGTATCAGTTTTTTCTTTGAAATAATCTCATGTACCCTAGAGTGGCCTCAAAGTTGCATGAAGTCAAGGGTGACTGCAAATCTTCAGGTCCTCCTGTTTCTATCTCAAGCATTATGATTGCAGGCATGCACCTTCACACTGTATTATGTGCAAGGAAAAAAAACTGAAGGCTTTGTGTGTGCTATGCAAGCATTCCATCAGCCAAGCTACATCTTCAGCCCACTGCATTTGAACATAATAAAATTACTCCCGTGTAATTCCCTTACAGATTAGGAAATTGTTCCTAATTTACTTGACTACTGTCATTATCTCATGGACACAGATAACTAAATGGCCTTTTCCTATCGTTGATTCTTAACAAAGTCGTCCTTCCTTGATGGATCTATGCTTCTTAACATTAAACTCTGGTCCCTCCTTTCTGCTTCAACTGAATGTACAAGTAAGTGTTTATGCAAATGCATAAATTGCCAAGTGTCTTGTTTTAGCATGTTATAAACAAAGCCAGGCAGGGTGACATAGCCCTGTGTGTTAGTTAGCATTTCTGTTGCTGTCATGGACCACATGAACTAAAGCAAGTTGTGGTGGTGCAGGGTATTTCACTTTCAATTCCACACTGTGTTGCATCACTGAAGGAAGTCAGGAAGGGAAGTCATACAGGACAAGAACATGGAGGCTGTTTCTATGACTTCCTCCCTGAGGCCTGCTCTTCCTGTTTTCTTATAGAAGTTAGGACCACCAGTCCATGGGACAGCCCTACACACAATGGACTGGGCCCTTCCCTATCAGTCACTAATAAAGAAAATGCCCCACAGTCCAATCTCAAGGAAGTATTACCTTAACAGAGGTTCCCTCATCTCAGGACTTTAGCTTGTGTCAAATTGATGTAAAATTAGCAATTTACCCTGTATACCTGTGCTTGAAAATGAGTGAGAAGGGACACACATTCAAGCCAGTCTGGCTATAATAATCAAATTATCTAAAACAATATAAAGAACAATAGGGCAAACAATGAGTACATTTACTTTCATAAGTTAAATAAAAAACACAAAGCACAGACAGCAATGGCTATTATCTGATTTGAGGACACTGAATTCACATAAAAAGCTCAATTCTAATGAACCACAGTTGTGTTTTAATGAAATCAGTTAGGCAAAATTCTGACTCTAGAAGACTCACATACCTTCATGGTCATCTTCTTCTGTGTCTAATATAGCAGAGAAACCTCCAGTAATGATGTCCAGGAGGAAGTTTCCAGGGTGGTTAAGGAAGACATAGTTAAGACCTACAAAGAAGGTAGGCCATGAACACAAACCTGAGGCCCCTCTTTCAGAGAGTGGGAAAGGGGAGGGGAGACAAAATCTAACAACTTCCTCTGCTTGTCCCTGTTCCAATTACTGTATCCTTTCCTATTATTATATGCACTCATAATATTTCAAAAATATCTGATTCCCAGTATATATGCATATATACATATATATTATATGTTTAAACACATTAAAGAATATATGTTTATGTGTATATTATACATACATATGTGACCTCTTCTTATGAAAGTATTATTTGAATGTGACCTACATTTTTATAGGACTCCAAAAAAATCACAAATGTTTACAAAATTTTAAATGACAAAGATTAATCAAAAACAAAGAGTGATAGACAGCAAATATTTAAATTTATATTTAGAGTCAAGGGAATGATCCATAAATCAACTCATATTTCAATAAGATGAAACTGATAGCACCTACCAATAAAAAATATGTCATCATTGGATCTGACTCTGAACAAAAGAGGCAGACAAAAAACAGGAGTCATAAAATCCAGTCTTTTGCCTCTATAGCCTCCAGCATAGCCTAAATGTAAAATGCAAAGTTACTGCAAAATACAGTAAGGTATCCATAGCTCCTCAGTCTGATCAAGCTAAGGGAAAACTCAAAGCCACAATCTGCTAAGTGAGTAACAACATGAGGACACAGGGCCTTTCCAAAGCTGTCCCATGCCTGGTGCCAGCATGTTAATCGAGAGGGTCACCTGACCAGGAAGCAGAACAAGTGGCTCAGTAAACACTGTGACACAGGTGACACAGGACAGGAGAAAGAAGAGAGACATGATCAACAAGCTCAGGCCTTGCAACTATCAGAATCCTGTCACCACATTAACCAAAGGTCTCAAAATGGAGAAACACACACTGCATGTCTACAGGAGGGTCAAGCCACATTCCTGAGAACCCCTGTCCTCCTCCCAGATTGTGTGAATGAAGGAGCTCTCACAGCAAAAGTCAGCCATACCTGTAGATGCGAAGTATTCCAAAGCCTTGTGTGCAGGGCCATGAAGTATGAGTTTTCCTGAGGCCACTAAGGTGACGCTATCAAAATATCTGAAGATGGAGTATGGGGGCTGATTAATGGAGAAGATGATTGTCTGTCCCCTCGTAGACATCCTAAGTTTAAAGAGGGAGAAACTGTAAGTCACTGCACAGAGGAACCTTGAGAGTCTCAGCAAAATGTTTCAGTCCTGAATTTATACTCTTTGTTCCAATTTCAGCTTGAATTGTCCTTAGAAACACCTCATCTCACTTGTATTGACCACCTGATAGGAAACCAGGCTAAAGCTTTTATTTAAAGATTTAGACTAAGCTGGACTGTAGTGGCTGAAGCCTTTAGTTCCAGCACTCAGGAGACAGAAGCAGGTAGATCTCTGAGTTTGAGGCTAGCCTAGTCTACAAAGCTACAAAGAGAAATCCTGTCTTGAAAAATGAAAAATTATATAAATAAATAAATGGAAGATTAGGACTTCCAACAGGTGAAGTGTCAGTAGTCCAGGGTTCAGTTGAATGTTACTGACAAAGAAAATCCCTGGCAGTCTTCTAGACACTGAATGAAACTATCTGGGAGTCATTTCAAGGAATCTATATTATGAACAGGCAGCCCAGGTGATGGACAGGCTCACTGAAGCTTGATAACCAATGATAGCGCAAACATTACAACTATGGCTGTATGCACAATTTCCTCTAATCATTTACTTTCTGCCTCATCAGGAATCAGTTTTCACTGTTCTGACAATGTGATTCACATTCCTAACCTTGCTCTCCCTGCTAAACACTTCAGCAATAACCTCATTTCAATCTTCACAGTATCAGCATAAGGCAATTCTAATATAATTTCACCTTTCTGTTGATGAAGCTTAAAATTTCAAGCAAAAGACCAAGTGGTCACAGTTGTGAGGGGCAAACCTGCTATTTAATCATTGTTTTAATTCCATGATAGGGAAAAATAAGCTGATCTATCATTTCAGGATGTCATATCTTCTGTTAGGAGAACCAATATCAAAAACGGTATTTAAATCTGTTATGAAAATATTCTATAAAAGATGTGTGTGGTGGCGCATCTGTAATATCCTAACACTTGGAAAGATCAGGAGTTCAAAGCCCACCTAGGTTGCATGAGACCCTGTTTCAAAAAACAAACAGAAAGAATGAATGAAAGAGAGGGTTTGGAAGGGAGGGAAGGAGCAAGTAAGAAGGGAAGGAAAGAAAGGAGAGAAGGGGGAACAAAGGAGGGAGAAAAGGAAAAGAGAATGAGAAACTGATATGTAGGACACAACTTGAATGCCAGGATTTAGCATTCAGAGGCAAGAAACTGAAATCAGCCTGGGCTACACAATAAAATGAAAAAACAAAAAAACAGGAAACCTCAAGAAAAGCATCTCATAAGCATACACTATGAGGTGTCAGTGTGTCCAAAGACAGAGTGCCTCAAAGACAATCAAGGCAGCTAATAATATGATGCAGGTGGAGCAGAAATAGACAAGGATTGCTGGAAAGCAAAATAGACTTGCAACCCTGACTGAAGGTAAAGCAGAGTACTAAGAGAGATAACCAGCTGATAACAGCTTCCAAAACAATACAAATGAAATCCTGTCTCATAAAACCAAAAAAATATTTATTTATTGTACACAGTGTGAACTGAAATGTCTATCCAAGAAACTATGAGAGCTCACTGCTACACAGCAAGGACTGTGTGTGCCTGAATGTGTTTAAGAAAAGGAGAAAGTGCGGAGAAGGGGAGACAAGGAAGAAGACAGAGGTAGATAAAAAAAGATGGAGGGAGAGAGAAATAAGAGGTGTGGAATTAATATTGAAAGACATTGTATGAACAGCTCAGGTGCAGGAAAAGCCCTTCTGTCAGAAGCTGGAACATTAGGTGGATGTTAGGAGAGAGCTTGCAAAGGTTCAGAGCAGAGAGCAGACATGGCAAGAGCCTTCTTCAAAGTGAGGTCTAGACTTTGTCGAGGTCTGCGGCCTCAGTATCTCCTCCCAGAGCCTTCAGTTTGGAATCCTTGGCAGTGTCAGAATCACACCTATGGGATCGCACCTACAGGATCACACCTACAGGATCACACATTCAGACAGAATCATACCTACAGAAATTGAAGATTTTTTTACATGAAAGTAAAATTGTGTTTTAAAAATATGTATCCTCATCAGCAGTTTCTTTAAGAAATATTTATTTAAGCTGGATGGCTTTAATCCCAGCACTCGGGAGGCAGAGGCAGGCGGATCTCTGTGAGTTCGAGGCCAGGCTGGACCGACAGCCTCCAAAACAATACAAATGAAACCCTGTCTCATAAAACCAAAAAAATATTTATTTATTGTACATCGTGTTTTATCTGAATGAATGTCTGCATATCCTGTGTCCTTGAGATATGTGGATGCGAGAAGACTGCATAAAATCCCCCAGAACTGTAGTTACAAATAGTTGTGAGTCACCACATGGATGCTGGGAATTTAACCTGAGTCTTCTGGAACAGCTGCCAGTGCTCTTAATCCATCTCACCAGCTCTTGTCAAAGATTTACTTTAAACATTATTATTTTAAATATGTGAAACCATCTCCAAGGAAAAATAGAATTGAAATACTTTGTGTGAATTTCCTTAAAAACATAATAAACCTCACAGTTAAGGGACTTCCTTTAGCCAAACTGAGATTGGTTTAATACTTAGAATAAAGAAGAATAATATTACAGACCATTGTATAAAAAAGGAACTGAGAAGAGAAACATTTCCACACAGAAGGTCATGTCAGCTTCTGAAGTAACTAACACAAGAACAGAAGTTACTAAATCATGTTAAAACTGGTTGTTAGAGAAAGATAACATCAGAATATTGACACAACTGCCAATTGTTTTTCTGACAGAATATTAATAAGCCACAAAAGGGAAAATGGCAATTTCATATCATATAACACAGCAGCTGCCAGCATGATTAAATGATTAAGATTCAAGCCAGGAAAATAATAAGATGGCACAATAGGTAAAGGAACTCGTTCCAAGTCTAAAGACCTGAGTTCGGTCCCTGGAACCCACTGGAAAAGAGAAAAAAACAAGTCTGTGGAGTTTTCCTCTGACTTCTGCAGGAAAGCTATAAACATATAGATACACACACATACCTACACACACACGCACACACACACACACACACACACACACACAAAGCAAACAAATAAATTAAAAAATTGGAAATATTTCTACCGTAGAGGGTATACTACCAGGTGTTGGAGACGAAGAAGAAGACAACATATCAGGGCCTGAGTCTGCTCCCAGAACATGGGGAGAAACCACAACTAGGATGACCCTGTGCAATGCACTAAGACAAGCCATGGAATAAGACACACTGACTGAAAGAAGTGTTCTATACTGGAAAATGAACAAGAACTTGATCTTAGAGTATACTGAAGCAGACAGGAAAGGAGACAGACAGGGAAAGTGTTGATGCCTGAGGAGTCTACAGACTAGAAGGTGGCAAGGTCTCGTTATTGAATTCCTCACTGGGAAGGAACAATGATAGAGACATCTTGACTATGGGGGTACAGGGTGGAGTGTTTAAGGTGATGGACCATGATGCCAAAACCAAAGTACAGGGGGAAGAAAAGAAAGACATAGATCAGTAAGTTCCATTGCCAGGAACATATGTCATGGAAATGAGTTAACCCTTATATGGCTCTTGGGGTACTTCTTATTATATTTTAAAATGAAAAAACCTAATCCTTACATATTTTTGTATCACTACTTCAGCCACAGACTTCTTTATTGAGAGAAGGAAATGCCATATCTTTTCCTTCATCCTTCTCTAGATTCAGGGCTCAGACTTTAGGAGTCATTCCTCAACCATCAAACCCAGGGCTATTCCTACAGACAATCCATTTTATTTTTTATTTGAAACTATCCAGAACCCATCATTTTAAAGCAAAGGAACCCCCACACCTCAGGCTCCTGCTTACATCTTCATGTCCCACGGTGCAACTGCACAACCTTCTCCATGATGTATTGCTCTGATCTAAACTCAGAAGCCTTTCCACACCATGAAAAACCCTAGTCCTTACAGTGGCCTAGCTAGTCTAGGCAATCTACACCCAACCCACCTAACCCTTCTCACTCCTATTATGAATGTGAGGGCTGAATTGTGCCCATCCAAGGACTCATTTGTGGAAGACCTCACATCTAAGAACTTAGAATGTGGCTATAATGGATACTGAGTCTTTAAAAGGTAACTAAGTTTAAATTAGATTGCTAGTGTGTCCTAATGTAACTGGTGTCCCTCTGGAGATCAGGACATAGACACATGAAGAGTGAGAGGACACCATTCACAATCAGTGACCCAGGCTGCAACAGACACAGTCTGTGGAAACTTAATATCTGATCCAGAACTGTAAGAAATTTAACACCACCCAGTCTGTGGTGTCCTTGGCAGTTAACTAGCAACTTTTCTTTTCCTCAGGTCACTGGGAACCAGTCCACTCTGTCTCTCTAATGTTCTAGACACACCAAACATGCTTATTCAGAGAACAAATGATTCTTTCTCTGCCCAGAACTCTGTTCAGCTCCCACTCACTCATCCCAGCTCACTTGTCATGTGCTTGGGTGTTATGGAGACAACACTATTTAAAGCAGGGCTCCACCTTCACCACAGCCATCTTTCCCTATGCTTTTCTCTCATTGTTCTCAGTTTGTATTCCTTGTTAATTGAAATTTCCCTCTAATAAACAAGGAAGAAATTCTCTTGCTTTCTTCTGAATTTCCTGAACCAAAATGCACACAAGTGACCAGAGATTTATTGAATAAAACTAATGTTCTTTAGGCACTTACCTTCTCAGGACTAAGATGATATCAATAGCAGTTATCATGTCTAAGACAGTGGTGGGATCATCCAAGAACAAAATGGGATGTTCGGCGACTAGCTCCATTGCTATACTGGTCCTCTTCAAGAGCTTCTTAGATCTAGGCTAAAACACCAACAGCCATCAATATCAAGGACAACCACAGTCATTATCATTTGGGGAACTCTCCTGTCCCAGCAATAAAAGGATGTTTTATATCAATATCCTGAGATTCAGAGTTTGGGCATCTGAGAGAAGAAGCAGGACATTCCTCTTTTCCAAGGGAGTAGAAAGAGGATCATGTGAGAGTTGACATGAAGCCTGTGACAATTACTGTTTATTATTTATCAAGTTACATATTCAAGGGCAATGAGTTATCAAAATCCCAGACTGGCACAGTGGAATCATTGTCTAAGGAACAGGGATGACAGGACAGGAGAAGATGAAGTATCTCTCGTAATTAATATTCAATTACCACCCTCCCAACACACACACACACACAAACATACACACACACTCAAGCATTTTGAGGGGTGTGTAAGGACACACACACACATACCTTTTTTTTAAGTTATATTGAAATTTTGAAATATATTGCATTTCATGACTCCAAAAAGTTAGTAAATGCCTTTATATGTTGTCTATTAAAAACCAATAAGCAATTTAAGACAATGATTGCTTATTCATAAACATAGAAAAAGTATCTTATTATGAATATAAAACAACATTATTAAATAGTGCCAAAACACACAAAATTCCATCACTTGTGAAAAAGGAAAGTGTAATGAATGTCAGCCTTTCTATTGCTCTTCCCAACAAGACAAACAAGTCTCATAAATGACTGCCTAGATGTGTCATGGGAGTTAAGAACCAGTATCTACCTATTCCTTACAGTCTCTAAGGTGCAGCCAGCACAGAAGTTAATCAGTGGTGATATCTTTCTTGTACAAATAAAGCCTGTCTGGTGGTCAGAGAATGGACATTGCCACTAGCTAACCATAGAGGTTTGGGGATCTGTAAAAAATGATGTAGCTGGGCAGTAATGGGATATAAGCAAGAACAAACAGAAAATGGCTCTCTTCTAGGTGGAGGAACTTAGGAGTTAAGGTGTGTTGTGGCTTGCTCCTTCTCTCTGATCTCTCAGAATTTCCCTCTATATCTGATTCAGGCTGTTTATTATCTATACCAGTTAAGGACTCCTTTTACATATATCCATGGGAATCCTAATTTTAGGAAACCATTTTCATCTGTACCCCCACTTGTCTGCTCATCACGCATCTACATATGATCTTCTCAATGGGACACAAGGACACAAGAAGGAAGCATTCTTGATATTATAATCTCTAAGCATGTAACAAAGACAGTACCTATCAGGTTCCACAAACAATGTAATAATAAGAACATTTGGGGAATGTGAATGATTATAGCTCTGACAGGGCATCTTGATAGTTAAGTGTGGGATTGTTAAGATAAACAAATGCCCCAAATACAAAGGCATCCACATTCATAAAAGAAATATTACTGAAACTTAAATCACATATAAAACCTCACACATTTGTAGTGGGATACTTCAACACCCCACTCTCACCACTCAACGGGACTACAGAAACTTAACAAAGAAACAAAGGAACTAATAGAAGTTATGACCCAATTGGGTTTGACAGACATCTATAGAGCATTCCATCCAAATAAAAAAGAATATACCTTCTTCTCAGCGCCACATGGAACCTTCTCAAAAATTGGCCATATACTTGGCAACATAGCAAACCTCACCAGGTACAAAACCATTGAAATAACCCCCTGTATTTTATCAGACCACCATGCCGTAAGTTAGAATTCAACAATAACACAAATTGCAGAAACCCTACATATTCATGGAAATTGAACAATGTGTATTTGCACCATTCCTTGGTCAAAGAAGAAATAAAAAAAGAAATTAAAGTCTTCCTAGAACCCAATGAGAATAAAGAAACAACATACCCAAACTTGTGGGACACTTTGAAAGCAGTGCTAAGAGGAGAGTTCATAGCACCAAGTGCCCACATGAAGAAACTGGAGAATACTCACACTAGAGAATTAACAGCACAACTGAAAACTCTAGAGCAAAAGAAAGAAAACTCACCCAGGATGAGCAGACACCAGGAAATAATCAAATTGAGGGCTCAAATCAATGAAGTAGAAACTAGGAAAACAATACAAAGAATCAATATAACAAAGAGTTGGTTCTTTGAGAAAGAAAGAAAACAAAATAGACAAACCTTTATCCAAATTTATGAAATGGCAGAGTGTGAACATGAAAATTAACAAAATCAGAAACGAAAAGGAGGACATAACAACGGACAGTGAGGAAATCCAGAGAATCATCAGGTCATATTTAACACAGAAGATGGCAATAAATTTTGACAAAAGATAAGGAAGCAGAGAGTGAAGGCAAAAGGATATGCTAGGTTTCCATTTCATTGCTAAGATAAAATAATCTTACAAAGAGTAAATAAGGAGCAAGGGGTTTTATTTCTGCACATTTCAAAAGTACAATCCGCAACTGCAGGGAAGTCAAGGCAGGAAGCTGATGGAGCTGGTTACATCCTGTCAAGAGCACAGAGAGGATGAATGTATGCATACCTGTCAGTGTTCAAATCACTTTCTCCATCCTCATGCCACCCAGGACCCAAACCCAAAGAATGGCCTATAATGGACTAGGTCTTTTCACATCACTTAACTTAATCAAGGCAATCACATACAAAGATACCCTCAAGGCAACCTGGCTACAATTCCTCCTAGAGACTCTGCTAGGTGATTCCATGTGATTCAAGACTGTGTCAACTTGACAGTTAAAACTAGCCAGCACAAACAGGATGAGATAAAAACACAGAGAGAAAGACTACAGGAAATAACAGGCACCAAACAAGTAAAAGTAAATGCTAAAGAGGCCAAGTACAACCCTGAAGGGAAATGAATGCAGAGTGAAACAAAGAACCAGAGTCCTCCATCTCACATCCTATGTCAGTCCAGAAATACAATCTGAAACAACAAAGGAGTAAGGCTCAGAGAGGAAGAGACAAGAAACAGAACTCACTTGTCAGGTTCTCTAAAGAGTCTTGAATTTAAGGCTGAAGGAAGAGGAGGCTCATGTGAGGCACACACAGAAATGGCCATGTGAGGAACACCTTTCCTGCAGGATCAACTCTATTCCCAGGCTTTACCATTGCTTGAAGGTTTCCCAGCTTAATCTTCTCTTCACATCATGTAACCAGTCACTCACTCACAGACACAGAGAACAGCAAACTTGACCACACACATGCACACACACACACACACACACACACACACACACACACACACACACTCACACACACACACACACACACACACACTATAGGAAACATTATCCACACAGGGATTTTTTTTTCCTCTGAGACTTTCAGGATTTTTTCCTCATATTACCTTGACATTTGACTCCTCATCCAGATGCAGAAGTTCAAGGACCTCATTAATTCTCCTACTTTTTTCATCTCTTGGCATAGACATTGGAAGTCGAAGAGCTGCTGAGAACTCTACATTCTCTCTCACAGTCACCGTGTGCATCACCACATCTTTCTTAAGAGTAAACATAATTTTAATCATAGTTATCATGAAGACAATCAGTGTAACAAATGTAACCTAATCCTCAGACAACTGTACTCTAATACTCTACTGAAAAATAGCCTTAGCCGGGCTTTAATCCCAGCACTCGGGAGGCAGAGGCAGGTGGATCTCTGTGAGTTCAAGGCCAGCCTGGTCTACAAAGCAAGTTCCAGGACAGCCTCCAAAACAACACAGAGAAACCCTGTCTTGAAAAACCAAAAAAAAAAAGAAAAGAAAAGAAAAGAAAATTAGCCTTTCAGTGTTACTAGTTTCAACTACAGTGCCTGATGCCACTTTCACCACCCTCCCATTTGCCTTCCAAGTAGAGCTCAGGGATTTGGGTGACTGCTACCTGAAATTATTTGCATAAAACATCTAAGCAGTGGAGAAAGTTGGAGGAAGGGCAATGTTGAACAACAGCAGTCCTTTGAAGAATTAAATCATAGCTGCAATTACTAATACTGTACCACAGATGTCACACTCTATCTCTCCACATCTTCCTATTTAATAATGTCAGCCTCAGGCTAACGAGTTATTAGGGAAAGCTGTTGTAGAGAAAGTTGGGTTTATAAATGTGTCATATAATGAACTGGAAATACAAATCTACAATCTGAACATCTAAATATACAGAAGCAGAGGAAATCTAAAATTACAAACCCAACACTTACTTGTGGGACATAACCAGAAGTACATTTGAAATTAGCAGGTCGAGGTTTTCCATTTATCAAAATATCTCCTGATAATCCACGTGGGTCTTTCCTTGCAGCTAAGACATCTAATAACCTACAGAGGGTTACATATGTTGTGTAGTTTACTTTCTCCTTTCAGTAACAGCTATAACCATTCAACCACTCAGAATAAAATTTATTCATGTCAAAAGTTTAGCTGAAAACACACACACACACACACACACTACTTTCTGTTCACTGTGTTCTCTAATACAGCCCAGACACATGAATGCAAGACATGATCCACATGACCAGGAGTCCCTCTCTGATATCTGACCTTGGGGACTAAAACAGGTAATGTCCTTCTGTATTTTGAAAATTAGGCCTGATGATGCTTTCTTTTCCCTAGAAACTTCTACTTCATCTTTTCAATTTTAATACTATCTCCCCCACATTAAATAATAATATGTCCCAATAGCAAATGTTAATTGCTCTATTATTTCCCATCAGGAAAGTGACCTAGTAAGACTTTCTCTTGGTGCTAGAAAATGAGAATGCAACATCCTTCACATTATCCACAGTACATGGGACAGACTCACACATATACACTCACACAATACCTAGATAACTCCTATAGAAGTGGTTTTACAGCATGGAAACTGGATGCAAAGGGCTTGCACATGCTTTCCATTATACTCACAAAGATCTGCTCCCGTCCTGAGGTCCTATGATGGCATTGAGGCCAGGTTTCATGATCCCACTGCAGACACAAAATCAAACTGGGTGATTTTTCTATTTAAAAGAAATATTAAGTAAGTGCCTACACTGAATATTCTAATGAAAGTGTACAAAGAAAATAAGCAAATACTCATAAAAAGTAAAATATTAGTAGAAGTCTATTATTTATAAAATATGTCAATTGCTAGTGGGGACTCATCAGAAAATGGCTGACATATCACAAAATCCCTTGATTATTATTTAAATGACTCGTCTGTTTTGAAACACGGTGCTTCTAATTTCAGTGTTCCTTGAAACAAGTAGCAGGTTCTCATCAAGACTCCATTACACATACATACAACCTGTATGTGTCATGTATTTAATAGCCTCTTGCTAATATTTGATGATCAGTATCTTCATATAGCCCTGCTTGCTCCCTAGTAAACCTCATCACATGAAAACAAAAAGTCAAGGGATATCAGTGGATGTGTCCTTACTATTAAAATAGAATAAAATCAAAGTCAATGCATCTTATGTAGGCATCCAAAAATTAGAAAGAAGTGCTCCACAGAACAGGAGTGCACTGCCAAGTTGAACACTCAAAACCGGAAAACAAAACCACCTGACTCAAAACAGAAAAGCTAAATACAGACACACAAAATGATAATTTCCTTCCATGATAAAGAGATTAGAATATGCTCAGTTTATAGTTGGGAGAAATCCCTGATGAAGAGGACATTCTTAATTGATTAATAGGTACAGCACAAATACAAGTTGTGTCAGCCAACAGATTCACAGTAGTGAGTATTCAGATTGAATACAGATAAACAGGCATTTTCTTATAGAAACTTAGCTCTGTTCCCATTTGTTATTTCATATCAAGACAATGTGTCAATTATTTTCCCTGCCCATTCCCCTCTTGGTAAGAAAATGATGGAGGTTGTAGGTGCAAGAGAAGAAACAATCAGTGCCCAAGAAGAGGGGCAATGGTAGGGATAGGGAGGAAGAGGCTATGCCAACTGAGATGGACAAATTCTCATTGTGTTTGCTCTTTCCTTAGATTTGGTTGGAAGCATTCTTTCTCTATTTTATGAAACAGTGTAGAATGTTATTTTTCTCTCTTTGTAGCTCTTGACCCAGACTTTCTGCTGTTGGGACATCTTCATTGTTTCCATCTCATCACTTGTAACTGCCCCAGTCAGCCTGTTATAAACTCTGAGGTCAGTTTTGGAAGTACATGATCACATAGACCCATATACAGTTCTTTTACATATTCAAATTTCTAGGAATTAAATTTTCATATCTGCATAATCCTTTGGGTTTAACAGGACATCTTTTATATTATGTTTTCATCCATAATTTTATTGAATTTTTAAAAGTATATTTGGGGGATTGTCAAGCTTGCTTGTGTTTTCAAAGAAGCAACTTTTAGTGTCATTAATCCATTATATTGTTCTTTTAGTCTCCATCTCATTAATTTCACTGTGATCATGAGTCTATCTGCATGTATAACAAGTGAGACTGGGAGATGTTTCAATGGGTGAGGAACTTCCTGTGCGAGGGTGAGAACCTAAGTAAACATCCAGAATTCACATGAAGTTGGGTGCAGTTGTGGGCACCTGTAACATCACTCTCTATGCCAATGCTCAAGGTTTTCCTTTCATGGCCTTGTGCTGGGGTGTGCCAATGCACCCACACATCTGCACATGTGAACATGCGTACATATAAAATTATACAAACATACACACAGTAAAACATACATGTACACAAATGCACATACAAGAAACACAGAATAATAATAGTAGAGAATTCTATGATTGTTAAAAAAGTTGTTCAATATACTTTATTTCATGCACATACCTGATATCTGATAGTTTTTCTATCTTGCTAGATTTCTTACAAAATGCAAAGCCACTCTGCACTGTTTCTTGATAGCTGATGTTGTGAAAACTTAACACAAACTTTTCACTCAATGTCTTCTGGCCACTGGTCTCCATTCCAGTAACATCATTGGGATTTATTTCTGTCATTGGGATTGTAGCAGTGTCATTATTGGAAGACATATTGACAGGTTCTTCCTTCCTATAGAAGGAACAGCAATAGTAAGTTGATGGTCTACATGAACAACATTATGACACAACACATCACATTTACAGGTTGTTTTAAACTGTGCTGCCACAAGCAAATGGTTTCCAAATTAGTACTACATATTTCTGTGATTACCTAATGATCCAATGAGAAGCAGACATAACTGAGTATATACACTGCCCCTGAGATTTCAAATTCCTAAGAAACAAATGAGTCCAACTGAGTATAGTATAAATGACGGTATTCATAATAAATAAAGGATGAAGGGATGTCAGATTTCTCTTACTTCAAAAGCATATTATGATATTATGTAAGTTCAGAATTAGAATATTTGACCACCATTACCACATCTCTCTCTCTCTCTCTCTCTCTCTCTCTCTCTTTTTTTTTTGTTTTTACGAGACAGGGTTTCTCTGTTTTGGAGGCTGTCGGTCCAGCCTGGCCTCAAACTCACAGAGATCCGCCTGCCTCTGCCTCCCGAGTGCTGGGATTAAAGGCTACCACATCTCTTATGTATATAATGTATGCATGATCATGAGGTGTGTGTGTGTGTGTGTGTGTGTGTGTGTGTGTGTGTGTGTGTGTACATGCACCTACAGAAAAAGCTGTTCTGGAACAGGCTGGCCAATATACACAATTGTTTCAAGGCTTGGTATCAGTTCAAGATATAGAGATAGCTCAAAGTGCAGATTTATTCAAAGCATAGATTTCAGGCATAAGAGGTGTGAACAATTGTGAGTTCAAGTGAGCCACTTCAATTTGGGATGAACATGATAAGCAGAAGACCTTGGGACAGAGTTGAGAGTTCATTTACTTGTAGCTAGTGATTCATATACCCAGTGGCCTGATGATGGCTCAGAGTATGAGGCAAGTTAGGGCATTGCAGAGCTCATGGCTCGCGTGTTTTGGACAAACACACTAGCTTGTTATCTTGGACAAGGTTTTCAAATATCTGTGAGTCTAGTTTTACTTTGTTATCATCATGGTGGGACATGGTGGCATGCATGCACACATTTTGCAGGAGAAGTTGCTGAGAATGCTACATCTAACACAGGCTACAGAAAGTAATCTGTCTCACTCATATATGAGACCACAAAGCCCACCACCTCAGTGATGCATTTCCTCTAACAAAACCACACCTACTGCAACAATGCCATACCTCTTACTAGTGCCAATTCCTTTGAGGACCATTTTTTCAAACCACCACAGTCACTGCCAAGGCTTATGTGCCACTCCTACACCCACAGGGTCATTGTACAGGTTATCATTGATGTGGTTCGTGAGTGTCATTGATACATAGTCTGGACTGTTGTTGCCACTCTCCTTTGGAAGTTTTCATTATGCCTTCTTGAACTATGAAAGATAGTCCTTGGGGTGGAGTAAGGTGGGGAAGGGGAGCATCTAAATCAGTTAGAGCTCAGGGGCCACTGGGTTCTGTGTCTGAAGAGCATGGTGTCTTCAGAAATGTGGGATTAGCAACCACCTCTGGGGGGTATCTAAGGGCCATAGCAAGAGACTGCATGTCCTAGGAGTGTCTTAGACAGACCTCACCAACTCAAAAGAGGGCTTCTCATGCCTGGTATCAGTTTTTGGTTTTTGTTAGGGAGTCTCTGGGAGCTCCATTGGCCTACATGAGAAAGGTTCATTATAACCATATATGCATACACTGAATTGTGGACATTATAGTTTTTTATTGTTTTAGGTAAATAGTTAATAGTGAGATTCCTTGAGGCTATTTCATCCATCCATATTGTTATTTTGCTTGCACCTCTCCTTCTCCTGTGTTTACTTCCCTCCCCCTTTCCTAAGGAGAACACCTTTTCTCCTATCAGATAAGTTGTATCCTAAAAATATGAATCCACCAATTTGTGTGTCCTCCTTCCACAGGGGAAATGATAATATTCTCTGTCCTCCCAGGTTTAGTATAATACCCTGCTCTCATCCATACAGTCTCCAGGCACCTACAATTCCACAAACTTCAGAATTATAGACCAAATGGACTCAGAAGACTTCTCCAGAATATTCTACACAATCTGTGAATTTGCATCCTTCTGAACACTTCATTCATTTTTGCCAAGACAGATCACATCTTAAGCTGTAATTCAAGTTTTAACAAATAAAAAGGTAATTTCTTGTATCCTACAAGATAGTATTCACAATAGATAGTTTTGAAAAGCTAAATTCATTCTTGATTATAGCCCTGAACAAACCAGGAAGATAAAGTTCATACTTGGACGAAATTAAGGCTAGTGTGATAATCCTATCTACAGTATTATACAGATTAGGGAATAACACAAATTAGTTCCTCTAAATACAGATAAAGCCAAGGGCAACCACCCCTCAACTATTATATAATACATGGCTTCAATCCTTAGAGAAACAGAACTAGAGAGTGTGGGAGCCCACAGGTGACTCAATTTCCACCTGGAGTCTATTCTGACATAAGACATTAGAGTTAAAGCTTGCTTGTTTCAGTCTCTTTGAGAGTCATGACAATTCTAGTGAAGCTCATGCAAAGGAGCTTATTATCTAACCAACAGGCTTCTGATGCTAGCCAAAAGGCTCTTAGAGACAGGGAATGCAGCTGTTTGCTGTTAGCAGGACTCATGGGATAGACAGTGAACCTGGCTGCTGCTTGATTCAAGGACAGTGCAGAGAGCTGGTTAACTGACTTTGATGCTCTTTGTTCTGCTTTGCCTCTAGTCTGTATATAACCAGGCTCTAAATTAAAATCAGGGTGTCTGGTGTGCTGAAAGGCATGGACTGGGCAGTCTTCCTGAACCTATCCTGTATTTCTGTCTCTGTTTCTTTATGTGCCATTTCTCAATTCTCATGTCCCTGCTCAGGCAACCCAGTTGACTCCTTGATGGAGGATTTGAAGAGAGAGAGAGAGAGACAGAGACAGAGACAGAGACAGAGACACAGAGACAGAAAGAGAGACAGAGAGAGACAGAGACAGAGAGACAGAGACAGAGAGAGGAAGAAAGCAAATTACCCTATAAGTGGATGTGGATGAAATGCTTCTATGTTTAAAATTCCACTGGGCTGGGAGAATACTTGCCTAACATACAGAAGTCTCTGGATTGTACTGCTGAACCTCAGAAAAAGTCCCTGAAAACCATCCTGATCATACAGTGTTCAAATGCACTGAGATGTCACCTGGTTACATGCAATGTGGTTGTGAGGTAATTATTTCAAGAGCAGGAATTTCCCATAACGCATACTAAACCTTGATTTATGTTTAAGTAATACCTGTTTATCAAGGGTATATGTAACAGTCAGGGAAGGAAATGACAGCTACAGGTTACCTTTGCAGAGGCACTGCTACTGGCATTATGGGATGGTTGTAGGAATAGCCCTCCTTTGATCTCATCACCATCTCATAAAATACACAGAAGAGATGTTCCCTCTCAAGCAAAGGCCAGGAGAAGCTTCTCTGAAAAAGCTACGTTTCCCCTTCTTGCTCCTGAGCTGTGATTCTAATCATCCTCTTCTGTCTATGATCCCAAGAAAGCAACTTAAGGGGCTGGAAAGAAGGCTCAGCAGTCAGGAGCACACACCACTCCTGCAGAGCACCTGACTTCCATTCCCAGCACCTACAAAGCAGATATCCAACTGTCTGCAGCTCCAGTTCCAGGGGATCCATTGACCTACATGAGAAAGGATATCTCTGTCCTCCACGGGCACCAGGTATGCATGCAGTGGACTTACACACAAGCAAGCAAAACACTCATACACATCAAATAAAAACGAGATCACTAAAAATGTAACTCAACTCAATGAATGTAGCTGCTTGTGTTTTCTGATATTCTTTCTCACAACAATTCTCCATTCTACCTTTTATTTTATTTTCCACTTATCATATTTATTCTTCTTCCAAATACTTTACAGATACTGAACCACAGTTAAGAGCAGGAAAAAGATCTGCTTATGTATACATATTACTACATGTTGATTGAAGAGAATGCACTGTTGGAAAGATATATGTCAATTTCATAAGAAGGACTCTTCCATGGAAATGCCGAGGCCGAGACATATGGTGCTTCATAAATATATGTTACTATAAAATTTTCCCTGTTTATAAAACTAGCAAGGTGATTACATTTCTAGTATTGCAATGGAAAAGAAAAGAAGCTAGCATTTCAGACACACAATACACTGAAAATTTTACAATGTAGTTGTTTTACCTTTAATTTCTCTGTCTGTTCAAACTGTTTCCTGACTATCTGATTAAGAGTTGTAAAACATTCATGAATATCTGTATAGCAAATGAGAGATGTTTGGACACATTTTAAATCACCTGATAAAGAAAAAGAATGAATTGTTCATTTCCCTTAAAACACAGGTGGTAACCAATTTCCTGTGCACTTGTGGTAACTTCCCTGTTTGATAAAACTTTTAGTCACCAGCTTTATTTACCTTCATACATTTGAAGAACAGCGATTGTACATTTTCAACGCACCCCAAACACCATACCTTTCCTCTACAGACAGATGACATGACCATTAGTTTGCATTTCACACTTGCAAATGAAGCAAACAGGATTTCTCAGCCCTGTCTACCCACACTCACCAGGGTCAGAAGCAGGGGCTCAGTCACCTTGTGTACAGTATGGGAGGAGAGTTGCAGCTCTGGCCTTATACTTAAGACTTCTGCCCTATAGCTTCTAGGAGCCTCTGCTTCCAGGCCACCTATGCTGCCCGCCTTCAGGGGGCGGGGACCTGGGTGACACCCAAAGAAAAGAGGAAGTGGAGCTCCAGGATTGGCTGCTATTGAGGAGGTTCTGTGGAGGAGGTGCTCTGTTGGGTGGGGGAGGGGCATAGAGTTAGTATGGTAATAACAAAACAAAGATATACACCAATGGATCAGAATAAGAGACACAGAAATACATCCATGAATTAATTATCACCTGATGTGTGCCAAGAGTGTCAAGAACACATAGAAGGAAGAAAACAGTGTCTTCAACAAATAGTGG